ATACCAACATAGTACTATTCGTAGCATGGACTTGTCATAATCTTCACCGATATGTCAAAGGCCTTCCACGATTGCGATTGGATCGTGCTGTTTGATACAGCCTTAATCCCTGACGTGATTGGTGACTAAGGCTGCAATAGATATTTGTAGCAATGTTTATGGTTCTGTCTTGACTTTGTATCAAAAAAGTTATAAGGATTGTGGACTTGTTAACGGGTCATGAGTAGGGCATACAGCGTTAACAAGCTGTCATCATGCTGGCTCATCAACCAACTTCAACTGGGTGAATGGACTAGCAGCTTGGCCAAGGATTGGCATGCTTCTGCTGGGATGGCTTGAAAAGTTGATTGAGACAGGATAAGACAAGCTGTCTAAACGTGAGCTGCTAAGGATTAGGTGGGCAATATAATGGTCTGAGAATACTGTAAACTCGTTCATACCCTGCTGCATTGGAACATGTGCACTTGGCTTCTATCCATTATTACTGATGGCTCAGGATAGTAACTGGTACGTTCAGCTACAAGGCTGAAAATTCATGTAAGCTTCTTCAGTCACTCATGATCCCCTCGTTCGAGGCTGCTAGAGTGTTTAACGATATTGCATTGCAAAATATTGGCTAGGCCCCAGCTGTCAAGCAAAGATGTATAGATTGGCTCCAGGACTCAACTTCTGCAGTCACGCTGTCATCAGGCTTGTGAACAGTATGTAGGCTTATACTCTCCAAAAAAAAGAAAAAAAAAGAAAAATCACAATGAGACCCGCTCAAAAAGGTAACCAGGATTGGACTCTGCTGTCTACCAAGACCCTGATAGTGGACCAAAGAAGCTTTGGAGCCAAATAGGCTTGAATCAATTAGAATCTACTGACAAGAAAGAGGATATATACAACAAAGAGACTTGGTTATGAGAGTGTGACTACATGACCTTGATGCTCACTGGAATGGAATTATGGGATGAGAATAGAATGAGCAAATCGGGGTTGTGGAAAAATGATGGCTGTGGAACAGACTGGTCGCCAATACTGAGAGGGAACCGGCTCCGAGGCGATTCCCTAGTACCATGCCTCCACAACTAAGGATGTAGATGCCATGCAATGGCTGCATGGCAAAACCACGTTTGAGACTATAAGATGGGCAAGAGTGGGAGATGGCCCCAGTTGAAGAGGAGGACATTGACATGCCTACAGAACATCCTATATCCCTCAATCAAGAAGCAGATCCGTCCACACCATATGCAACTAAGTAACACCCTGCAAAAGCAGACTATGTCTCATTGCAAACGGGAAGAAAAAAAAGTTTTGTATCTTCATCAAACGTGGATTTCTCTTTGACAGAAGCTCAGGAGAGCAAACGCGACATCCAGAATCAACCTGTGGCGATCATGGAGGTCATGATATTGAACACTAATCACGGTTATCTCAGCATGACAAACTTTTGCGGCAGGTTAGAATTGATTACTGCAGTACTGTCAAGATATCAGAGGTGCATTGAGAACGCGTTATGAGAACTTCTAAGGAACTGAAGCCTAAGGAAGCCAGCATGTGTTGGAAGTGCATATAGACCTGTGACAAAGATTGCAGTAGATTCTGGATGTCTACTAATGACATGCTCATCTTGAACCTTACAACAACAATTCAAGAATACATCATCGAGTGACTCAATGTAGATGCCCGTTACATATGGGTCATGCCGTTCTTTCTGGCAAGTTCCTCAGTTGCTCCATGTTGTATCCATCCCTCACAGTTGGTGAAAGAGTATTTGTTCTGTGACCTTTTCTTAGCCGGAGCCACGGCACACAATACTCAAATTCTGCTGCTACAACTGAATTTTGGGGTATTTGGAAAATTTATGTCATTTTTGTCTGCTACTCCTTTGGCCAATTGACAAGCCATACTACAAAGAATGAAACCCCTAATCAGATGCGTTCAACTCTTGTGCCTGGACTTCTAGACATAGCTTAACATATCAAGTTCGAAACTGTTTTATTACCTCTTACACTCCGGCTGTCTTAGTCTACTGTCCTTACGGGCGACCTACAAACAAATGAAGGCTACCATCAACTGCTGGCCAGAAAAGCCATCACACGGAGTTGTTAACTGTATTATTTACCCAGATTTAGTTCTCAAGGAAATTTTTTACGCTTAGGTTGAGGGAGCTGCGGCAAGCTTATATGGATAACCTGTTATTAGATATGACTGCTCTAGTTCAGACAGGTCTTTTCAGGAGTAGAACAGAAACATTCCATGATCTAGTCCGCTGGGATATTATTGTGGTCATCTCGATTATTCGGCTTCATCGGATGATACAAAGCCTGACAGAGCAGTTTGGCGCTGGATTTCTGAACTTCGTTAGGAAATTGATGAGAATGCAACAACATAATCTGACCGAGGGCAAACTAAATTCATATCATGTGGGCTACCTACTAGTATGCAACGTGCTGTCGACTGTGCCATTCTCGCAATCATTTGAAGGCAGATCGTGCCAAGCATGTCCGCTATAATGATAAACATAAGCGAGTAAAGCTAGAGTTCTTGAGAGGTTTTTGGGTTAGAAAATAACATAGGTTGGGTGTGTTTACACTGCCCTGTTGTGTCGCCTAACTCCTTATACCTGCGGCGATAATGCAAGATACATGAATGCATGGTGGTGATCAGTAAGTACTAACTGCTAAGCGCTAGCATATAATGAGGTCGCACTCTACAACACAATGTGGGCCTGAACATTCGATGCTAACTCCTGGTATGAACCATACCAACCAGGTAAGAGGTCAGCGCTATGATTAACTGATTTCAACATAGCAATGATCATTTATTCGGTTTAAACATACTTACAGCTGATGGCTATGAGAAGAGGTACCAGCTAGTGACTGCTGGCAACGAGGGCTCCAGCCCAAGGCCGACCACTTTCTTCACTCCATAATGTTTTGGCGCAGATCGATAACTTGGTTTGCAACCAGAAAGCTTTGGCAGCCTCTATGCAAGCTAAGAAGGGTTGGATTGAACTGTGCATCTATCAGGGATCTAAAAGAGGGCCCGAAACGGTTCAGGAATGCTACTTTTTTTTTTCAGACCAGAGCACAGCTGGGGGAAAGCGAAGACTCTAAAGGCGATCGTCTTTTCGACCACGAACACCACTGGGAACTCATGTGACGAAGCAGGGGTGTGTTTTGGGATGAGCCAAGACATCAGGCCGCAAGTTTTTCAGAAGGGCATTCTAACATGCGCTCTAAGAAAGATGAGGGAGTCAACGAAAATATATTGGCCAAGCCAACATTCAAAGATGACACTCGTGTAAATCATAGCGTGATCACATAATCAATAAAAGTCCGGCAAGAGAGATACAGACGAGGGGAAAATGGGTGATGAGCAGTAGCTGATAGAGGTAGGTTAATATAGTCCTTCACGTAACAACTGATGCATGAATGTTGCCAAGCTGGGAGCATATGCTATAATGAGACATCTTACAGCCTCAAGGCTCTGCAATGTGTAATGCCAAATTCATTAGATACATATATTTTAAATAGATCGTGGTGGTGCATTCTGTTTACACTTAAACATGAGTATCTTAAGTCTATTTGTTCTGCGTCTTAAATTAGGGGAGTTGCAAAGGTTAGGAGCCAACGGGCTATCTTTAGAGATTTTCTGATGCATGCTCCATAAAGCTTAGAACATCATGCATACCACGCATTAGTTACAAATGATATTATCATTGATCTGTTCCGTGCTTACATGTTAGAACGAAATCATACGTGGTATGGGCTTGTGACACGATTTCTTGCTTTGTTCTCAGCTGCCTTTGAAAGTTTTTTTTTTTTTCACTTACTTTGTCTATCTTTTACTCTCCATACCTTTGGCCTTCTTCCAACCGCACGCCCAGTTCCAAGTCCTTCCTATACATTGAGAAGACATTTTAGTAAACGATCCTGCCCAAAAATATCAGATTAGGGGAAATTTTGTGAGGATACTTTGAGCAGCAAGCTGAACTGAACGAGATTCTGAACCAACTGTACAATATCGACGTTGCTTTCCTCAAGTCTTTTGAGCTGGAGAGAAGAAAGAACAGATGCCCCAATACATAACGACCAGTGTCATCGGCATGACTACAATACCAGAGGTGGCTGAACAAAGTACAGTTTAGTCCTGGGAGAAAATAACGATAGGGGCCGGTGTTAGACCATGGAGCCATGGAACCTGAGCAAACTCTCCATGTCATGACATCGTGATAAGTGGGATGGCCGGAAGATATCTGGGGATTGAACGCCATCAGGAATTAACACTTAGTGCGCTTGATATACTGCTTCTTAGAGAGATATGATGTTATACTGAAGTAAACGGAGGTTTGTTCTCCGTATCACTTTACTTCGGACTCAAGTCTTCAATGTCAAAAGGAGAGATTGCCGTTGATTAGATGTCTTCCGTTGTGTCTCTGATGACCATGGAAGCCAAATAAAACAATGACACTTACTGTAGACTGCAGTGAAAATGAATCTAGGCAGAATTCATGAGCATTGCACTGCGGTATTTCGATAAACCTTTGGTCAACTCTTTGACAACTTCACTCGCTGGTTGCGGTCATGACTCAGGTAGACACAGCATATCCCAAGTAGAAGAGAAGAAAAATGTCAGCTATTTGGCGTTTTCGAGACCCGTCTCCTCACCCCGCCCATTAAGCTCGGGTCTGATTACGAAACTACCTAGCTGTGGTAGGCCCATTGGAAGTATCTCATATCGGAAAACCTCTCCCAAAGTCTACATAGAATGTACAAGAACCAATGTCCCGCCGCAAACGCGACGGGCATATCAACGTGATATGAAAGCAAAGAAAGGGCATCAAATCATTCCGGGCTGGGCTCTTCATCCGTAACCATGCGCCACTAACCATTAGGTACCGGTATCATGCCTCATACGCCCTTTACCCTGTCCAGTCATAAATAATCATTGCAAGACACATTCTTTGGGAGAGAGAACGCCATGGTGGCGTTGGCACCGTCTGAAAAACCGGCTTAGAAGAGAACAGCGGCTAGGCCGGCGGCGGCCAGGACACCAAGGGCTGGAGCCCCGGTGATTTGAGCACCCTGTGATTGTCAGCTTGTATTATATCTAACAATTGAGTGAAATGATGAGAACGTACATGGCCTTCACTGGAGCTAGAAGAGGGGTGTTCTGCCTCAGTAGGCTCGGTCAATGAGGCAGAGTCGACCGAGGTCGTGAACGTGGTCGCGTGGGTGACTTCAAAAGTCGACGAGCCGCTAGTGTGCGTCGACACAAACGTTGAGGTCACCGTGGTGAATGGGTGGGAGGTGTAAACGGGAACACCGCTGATGCCGAAGACAGTCGAGGTGCCTGTGGTGGTGCTCACAATGCCGTCGGTGGTGAAGGTGGTTGTATAGGTCGTAGTCCAAATGGGAGTCGGCTCAATAGAAGGCGACTCAATGTAGGACTGGGTGTCTGATCAGCGCTGCACCATTCTTAATCTTTCGGATAGTGTTGACCTACAGCGGAGGTGGTGGCCGTCGCAAGAATGCCACCGCAAAAGCTGTTAACCCATGCGATGGCAAAGTCGGAATCGGCATTGTAGCCACACTTCCCATGAGAGCAGTCGCGCACGCCATAGGCAAAGTTCTGGTTCTGGCACAGACAAGTAACATCGCCGACGTTGCAACCAAGCTCGCCCGGCTTATTCTCGAGCATTTCGGTGGCGCACCATTTCTATAACAAACCAAGTTAGTTTCTCTACTCCCGCTAGTAGGATAACGAGGAAGTCGAAGTGATTGCTTCGTACAGCGCACTCCGGCATGTTGGGCGGGAAGTCGGTGGCCGCCACAGTAGCGGCACCCGCAAGGGTGAGAAGAGTGATCAAGCCAGATTTCATCATATTGGTGGATTTGCAATGTTTGGTAGTTGGAAGAGGAGGATTTGAGGGTCGAGTTAACAATTGCGCCGAGAGACAGGCCTGATACCAAAATTTGCGATCGAGGTGTGAAGATGAAGTGGTAGTGGTTTGGTTCACTCGGTTGGCGGAGTGAAACGGATGGGTTGGGCGGGGGGAAGGTTTGGAAGAAAAGGAATTCGAAAAATGGTTTGAGTTGCCTGGGGGATCGTGAGTTATGGACTGACTTTGTAGGAAGGAAGGTGGATGAGCGTGGAAGGGGAAAGAAAGTTGGTCCAAGCACTGGGAGGACAGGCTGCCTTAAATCAGGCACTCAGAGGGAGGTGCGGGCGTCACAGCATCGAACCTGTCGGTTTGTACCAGGGTGGACGATTGCTCCTTCCTGTGAACTGCAAAAAAAGCAGACTGGGAGAAGGATGTGGGTCACGATAGCACCTGATCCTGCTGTGATTTGTCCTGCCACGGGAAGGAGCGATGTGGACTAATTGCCTTGTTGATTGGGAAGCAAACAGACCGCTATCAGGTTTTGCGCTAGTCAAAAGCGGTGAACATCAAATAAAACCGGGTATCGTCAATTCTTCGTCTAAACATCTTCTCCGAGCTAATCTGTTGTCACGGGGATCCAAAAATGCCCCACGGTCTAGAGCATGAGTGAAGACCGGCGATCAAGGGATGCCTACGAGCATCTACCTAGGTGCTCTAGAGGGCGAAGGTCACCAATCATCCCAGTGGTCGTCGCCAGTATGAGGTTTGCTTTTTCACCTTTCATCAGGATCTCATGTCTGCAGCTATCCTGAATGTCAAAGATGCCTTCGGCAAGCGGCATACAAGTTCGCAGCGGCAACCCCAGAGTATGTCGCCAGCCGGCGTACTGCCGCACTGCGCAACGAAAACCAGATACCAAATAGCTCCAGCCTCCTATGTCTTTGATCACTGCCACTAAATGTCTGGGAAGACCATCGAGATTTAGCACAGTCGAAGGGCCTCAACAATGGACCGGTGGCTAACAAAAGACTCCAAGTCCGTGCTGAAGAGGGAGCCAACTGAAGTAGCCTGTTAGGATGCAATCTTGAACGGAATCCATATTCTAAACAAGCAACTCTGACTTCTCGCGAAGTCTTGCCATTTCAAGGACACAGCAGCCTCGAAGATGGTTTGTTTCCTCCTGGACGTGGGACGTGTTCGACGTCAGACGAAACTCTGTCCAGATCCAACCAAGGACGACTCCACTTCGAGCTAGCAGAGTTTGCAGAAGGCAAAGTTGCAGCCCGCGTCTATCTATCTGTCTGAGCGCCCACAGCTGAGATTGCCATTTTTCTTCAACCTTTTGAGCGGTTTCACGGCGAGATCTGGTCTGAAGAACCGTTGGCGCGGCGAGGAGCAGACGTTCAACATCCCAGCAAGGGTTTTGAGATCGTCTCCTCTGATTGGCTGCACCCCCTGTGCCTGTGCCAAAAACGGCAGGGATGAACCTCGCTCGCCAAGACCCTGGCGCAGCTGGATGACCGGGCCATCCAGATGCGATTCAAACCGCAGAACCATCGTCTTGTTGGTAATCAGTTGTTGCTTGTGAGATCAAGCAAGGACTAGTAAAGAAACGAAGTCAACAGCGACTCAAAACCACGGCAGTGGCTATCTGGGTCGCCTGGCTCAGAGAGCAACCTCAACCCATCGATGACATCACCAACTTTGCCCATCGTAGCAACCTCACTCCCTCCCGCCAACCTGCCTGCAGCGATTCCCGGATGATCTGCCGAATCCCTGGCACTCCAGCCTTCGAGGTCTAGCTGGTCCTGTCGGCTCCACTACTCGGAACTAGTGGTAGAGCTTGGTGTGCGTCTGATCGAGCGGCCGCGAAGCTTGGCTCTGCCACGCCGACGTCGGATCTTATCTAGCCGGTATGGCCGCTGGGTAACCGACCTCGATGACGGTACAATCTATCAATCCAGAAGCAGTGAAGAATGACCCTTTTACTTGGGCAGATAGTCAGGTCGACGTCCTCGGTCAGGCCCATCCCATCACCGGTTCCTGCGTCAGGCTCGGGGAATTGCATCTGCAGTCCTTCCCGACAATATTCACGATGGACATAGCACAGGAGAATGGAAGAGCAACACCATCCTGTTTGTAGACAACTGAAAGAGCGGACAAGAGTACATCCTTCAAAAAAAATGCCACTGTTACCCCGGGGTTCCCTTCTTGCAACTTACCTCCCGCAATCTGCCTTGCCTGTGCCACGCTTCCAGATCACAAACCGCGCGTTTCGAACGCCTCAGACTGGTTGCACAGTCTAACGTATTGCACGCCTCGTAATTATTGCTGTCGTACCATCCGTTTGGTTGTCGTGTGGCAGATTGGGGGTTGTGCAGCTTAGCACCGAGATGCCTCTCGGAGTCATGTTGCGACGCTAAGGGAGGTAAAGAGAATACCGGTAGGAAACCTGCTTGTAATACCCGAGATCAAGGTAGGATGATCTAGGTGGTCGGGCTTTCGGGGTACACAACACGAGGGCATGAGATAAAGGGGCTGGCCCTGACATGATGCTGTGCAGACAGACAGCTGCAGGGACAGCATTGAAGACAATCATGGTTCGGGTGGCTGCGATGCTTGACAGCTGGCAGGTTGGTATTAACTAAGGGATCGTAGTTCTAGATCCCCCCTCATTCACTTTCACCAACTTCTCTGTTTTAGCTTCATGGGGGAGAGAGCTTAGCAAGCTCTCTCAGTTTCCCTGCCCAACTCTAGGAGAAACCCCCCCCCCAGCAAACTATCACCAACTCCAAAGCACAGCATAAGATGTACACTTGCATGACATCCACCAATTCCAACTTTCTCCTATATCCCTATGCCATGTGGCCTATCCCTACCAAGCACAGCAGCGACTACTACCGAGTCGGAGACTACCTATACTTTGTGTCAGACCGAACAACTGTGCTTCTATTTGGCTGAGCAACAGGCACTGGCTTCCACGATCTGTGTAGCAACAGTTGAAGGCAGGTCAGACGCTTACGTAGAGCAGTACGTAGTCCATCACGACGTTAGCCCAATAACTTGGTCGGCGAGGAGTTGGTTCCAACCATCTCAACAAGTCCAGTGTCATCATACTCATCTTCGTAGCCTGCTACGCTACATCACTTCTCATAACTTCACCCTCATCCCACACCCAGAGCTGTACAAGGACATAACTACCATAACCATGCGTAATGGGGTACTAGTGATCTGCCAAAACATCAAGCCAACAAGATAACAGTAAAAAGACTTAAGCCAAACCAGCCAAACCATCCATCCATACCCATTATTACTCCACCCCTACTTTGCCTTCCGACCGTCGTCAACCACATCACACATGCCACCCACAGGTGTACCCATCTGACTCTACCCATCATTCACAACAAACACGCCCACCTCGGTGAGGTGAGTCCTCCGCATCGTGTCCATTCACCAAATTGACCGTTCTAACCGCTGCACATGAGGCAGGCCTCAGGGTTCTCAATGCTGCCTGTATCACAAAAAAAATCGTCAGCACTCACGTCACGCCCTCATCCCAAGTCGCAATGAAGACACTCACAAGCAAGAACAGCCTCCGAATAGATATCCATCTCCCTCTCCTTGCTCTCATCCTCATTATCCTCCGCCTGGCTCTCTTTCTTGCCATCCAGCCCAGGCGAGCTGATCTCCTCCAACTTAGGCTTATCCGCCGGCTCGGTCGGCAGCGCCTTAGGGCTATCGCCCTCGGGCATGTCCGCCTTAAAAGCCGGCGGCTTGTTAGGCGAGCTGACGGGGCGCGAGATGCTGCTGGTCGGGGTAGTAGGCGTAGCCGTGCCGGCGGTGGCAGAGCCATCGGCTGCAGCAGCAGTCTCGGCCGGGCGGTAGGCCAGGGTGCGGGGGATGGCGCTGGGGGAGGACACGAAGCTAGGGTTGGGCGGGGCACGCTTCCTGGGCAGGCCCGACACAGGCTTGGCGGTGGTGGTGTCCTGGACGCGCAGGGCCTCCTGGTCGACGGTGAACTGGATGGGCTGCGCGGCGGCCTGGGTGCGCAGGTAGTACATGCCGGTCTTGAGACCGAGCTTCCAGCCGGTGAAGTGCATGCTGGTAATTTTGCCCATAGTGGGCTCGCGCATGTGGATGTTGAGCGACTGTGACTGGTCGATGAAGGCACCGCGGTCAGCGGCCATCTGGACGATGGTCTTCTGGGAGATCTCCCAGACAGTCTTGTAGAGTGCCTTGATGTCGGCGGGGATGTTGGGAATGTTTTGGATGGAGCCGCCCTCGGCGATGATGCGGTTCTTCATGTTGTCAGACCACAGGCCAAGCTCAACGAGATCCTTGAGCAGCCACGGGTTGACAACCTGGAACTCGCCGGCCAGGACACGGCGCTGGTAGATGTTGGAGGTGTAGGGCTCGAAGCACTCGTTGTTGCCCAGAATCTGGGATGTCGAGGCAGTCGGCATAGGAGCAACCAGCAAGCTATTGCGCACACCGTACTTCTTGATCTTAGCCTTGAGTGACTCCCAGTCCCAGAGCGGGCTGGGGGTGACACCCCACATATCGTACTGGAGGATGCCCTGAGAGACGGGAGAGCCCTCATACGTCTCATAGGGACCCTCCTCCTTAGCAATGTCGCACGAGGCAGTGAGAGCGGCGTGGTAAATGGTCTCGAAGATCTGCTTGTTGAGCTCACGAGCCTCAGGGGATTCGAAAGGCATGCGCAGCGCAAGGAAGGCATCAGCTAGACCCTGGACACCAACACCAATGGGGCGATGGCGCAAGTTGCTCTTGCGGGCTTCGGGGACGGGGTAGTGGTTGATATCAATAATACGGTTCAGGTTGCGCACGACGACCTGAGTGACCTCGTGCAGCTTCTGGAAGTCATAACGACCCTCGTTGTAGTCAACGAAGGCAGGCAGGGCGAGAGACGCCAAGTTGCAGACGGCAACCTCATCCGGAGCGCAGTACTCAATGATCTCCGTGCACAGGTTCGAGCAGCGGATGGTGCCGAGGTTCTTCTGGTTGCTCTTCCTGTTGCAGTGGTCCTTGTAGAGCATGAAGGGGTTGCCCGTCTCGACCTGGGCCTCGAGGATGTGGTACCAGAGCTTCTGGGCCTTGACGGTCCTGCGACCACGGCCTTCCCGCTCGTATTTCTCGTAGAGAGCCTCGAACTCCTCGCCGTAGCAGTCAGCAAGACCAGGGCATTCGTTGGGGCACATGAGGGTCCAGTCCTGGTTCTTCTCGACGCGCTTCATGAACAGATCGGGAATCCAGAGGGCCAGGAACAGGTCACGAGCGCGGACCTCCTCCTTGCCGTGGTTCTTGCGCAGGTCGAGGAACTCGAAGACATCAGCATGCCAGGGCTCAAGGTAGATGGCGAAGGCGCCAGGGCGCTTGTTACCACCCTGGTCGACGTAGCGGGCGGTGTTGTTGAAGACGCGCAGCATGGGAATGATGCCGTTGGAGGTGCCGTTGGTACCGGCGATGTAGGAACCGGTAGCACGGATACGGTGGATGTTAAGACCGATGCCGCCGGCCATCTTCGAGATCATGGCGCAAGTCTTCAAGGTGTCGTAGATACCCTCAATGCTGTCCTCCTTCATGTCCACGAGGAAGCAGGACGAGAGCTGGGGCTGAGGAGTGCCGGCATTGAACAGGGTCGGCGAGGCATGGGTGAAGAACTTCATGGACATGAGGTTGTACGTCTCGATGACCCTCTCGACATTGTCGCCCCAGATGCCAACAGCCACGCGCATGATCATGTGCTGAGGACGCTCGACGATCTTGCCATCGATCTTGAGCAGGTAGGACCTCTCAAGGGTCTTAAAGCCGAAGTACTGGTAGTTGAAGTCACGGTCGTAGACAATGGCCGAGTCGAACTCATCCTTGTGGCGCATAACACACTCGTATGTCTCCTTGGAGATCATGGGGCACGGCTTGCCGTTCTTGGGGTTGACGTAGTGGTACAGGTCATGGATGACGGCCGACCACTGCTTCTTTGTTTGCTTATGGAGGTTCGACACGGCGATACGGGCAGCCAGGACGGCGTAGTCGGGGTGGGTGACCGTCATGTAAGCGGCAGTCTCGGCAGCCTGGGAATAATTAGCTGGGCCCCTTTCTTCGAGGCCGCATACTGTTACTCACCAGATCGTCGAGCTGGGCGGTGGTGACGCCCGGGTAGACACCCGCAATAACCTTCTGTGTGATGGCCACGGGGTCGACATGGTTCATGTCAAGACCATAGCACAGACGCGAGACGCGGGCCGTGATTTTGTCGAATTGGACGCGCTCCTGGCGCCCGTCTGGAGGGTATCAGCACGAGGAGCTTGGTTTGTTTTTGGGATCCTTTTCTGTCTACATACCACGCTTCCTGACGTACATGGCGTCGGATGGCTAGGAGTTTAGTGAGTGGGTGGGGCCGGGTAATTGAGGGGAAAGTGACGATAACGAAGAGAAAAGAAGGTGTTGGGTATCCAGAAAATAGACGAGTGTTCAGCTGCTCTGGGTGTCGTCTAAGTCTAGCTCCAACTCCAGATAGCCCGTATCGGCCTGGAGGAAGAGATGACGCGTGATGGAGGGGAAGGATGAGATGGAGGTCTTGAGGAGGAGAGGAGGAGAGGAGGGAGGAAGCAGCGAGCCGCAGACCCTGTGCAGAGAGTCTTTTAAGCTGGGGGCGCTGTGGACCGCGTCGACGCGCCAAAATTCTGGCGGCACGCGTCGAGATGCCCCGCCTATTAAACAACATACATACGCTTGGGCCACATGCTCCGCCAAGGCCCACCCTTTCGGACTCTTCACTGGCCTTGGCTGCTTACCTAAGAGCCAATTATCTGGGTGAACAAACATTGTTGGACGAGTGAATCGAATTGTTGATCTATCTCATTTATTCTACACCTGTGCTGGGCAGCGAATACAGCGTCGACACGCGGTCAATACCCACTGATGGTGCATGCGTCTCCCGTATCGCCCACTTACATAATCAGCAAGGAGAGTGGGGCTACGGCGTTGGATGCCAAGAAGACCCCTGGCCCAGTTCGCGTCTGCAAGGGTTCAGGGCGGAGCGCACAGTGCCACAGTGCCAGGGCCCAAGGCTGATGTGAGGACGGCCGTTTCACAAACGCAGCATCTTCACTTGAGGGCCAACTACATATGAAAGGGTGAGTGACAGGAGTGAGTCAGGCTGTTGGCGATGCCGGAGCGTATCTTATAAAACGGCAGAATAGTGACGGGCGGCTATGAAACGTCCATTCCCACTGCAAGCCATTTCTCGACTTGCATTGGCCTCACTCGCGGTTCCGGCCACATCAGCCCCTCTTCACCTGAGACCACTCACAACTACAACATTCAAAATGGCAGAGACAAGTCAAACCGTTTCAGAGAGCGCCAGTCAGGCTGATCTTGCCCCTTCCCTTCCTGCTTACAGGCCTAGATACATTGATGTGAGCCCCTCTCAGTATGTCTCTCGCTTTAGTTTCTCTCCCCTCACTAATCGGTCCAGATCGGCATCAACCTTGCCGACCCCATCTTCCGTGGCCGCTACCACGGCAAGCAAAAACACCCCGACGACCTCAAGGGCGTAGTAGACCGCGCCATCGAGGTCGGATGCACAAAGCTCATCGTGACGGGCTCATCTTTCAAGAGCACACGGGATGCCCTGAAGCTCTGCAGGGAGTTTCGTACGTCCTGCCCCTGGATCTCCTTCTAAACATCATCATATTGACCTCCCCAGCCGGCACCGTTTACGCCACAGCCGGCATCCACCCCTGCAGCAGCTCGATCTTCAGCCGCGGCCACCACAAGCACCACGACGAGAGCGAGTCGGAAGGCGAAGCCGAGCACACGCCCCAATGCGACCCAGACCCGACCAAACCCATCCAAGACGGCAGCGACGGCGGCGTGTGCCAGGAACGCAGCGAACGCATCATTGCCGACCTGACCACCCTCATTAACGAGTCTCGCGCCAACAACCCGGGCGACCTTGTCGCCTTCGGCGAATTCGGCCTCGACTATGACCGTCTGCATTACTGCTCCAAGGAGGTGCAACTCCATTCCTTCCGAGTTCAACTCCAGCTCGCGGCATCACTTTCTCCCCAGCTACCGCTTTTCCTTCACTCCCGCGCCGCACACGCTGATTTTGTTCGCTTACTGAAGGAGGCCTTTGGCGAGAAGCTCGAGAAACTTGAGAAAGGCGGCGTGGTGCACAGTTTCACGGGCACAGTTGAGGAAATGAAGGAGCTGATGGACCTAGGGCTATACATCGGTATCAATGGGTGCAGCTTCAAGACGGCAGAGAACTGTGCTGTGGTGAAGGAGGTCGCGCTGGACCGGTTAATGATTGAGACGGACGGGCCGTGGTGTGAGGTTAGGCCTAGTCATGAGGGGTGGAAGTATCTGGTTGAGTGGGAGAAGACGGCTGCTGCTGCTACTCCTTGTGGAGCGGCGACTACGCAGGCAGTTGAGCCTGAAAAGCAGAAGCAACAGGGGAAGAAAAATCAAAAGAAGGAGCCTGAAGTTCCGGAGAGGTTTAAGACGGTTAAGAAGGAGAAGTGGGAGGAGGGTGCTATGGTCAAGGGGCGCAATGAGCCATGCATGATTGAACGTGTGGCGAAAATTATTGCTGCCATTAAGGGGGTGTCGTTAGAGGAGGTTTGCGAAGCGTCGTGGGCGAATACGGTCAAGGTGTTTGGACTGAAGGAGTAATTTTGGACATAGACTCATCTTCATAGAACATGCAGAGAAGTGTGTTTGATAGATGTTGCCTTTAAAAATTCTCATTTCATTCCAATCAATACCCGGGGTATATCATTACAAGTCATAATATCTCATGCTTACAGCAGTCACACGCGCCTAGCCTAAACACCTGACCCCTTATGACCCCTTATCCTCCCATGCCTTACTGCCCCGATTGTCACACCCTCCTCACCGGTCATCCATCCTGGCATACGTTCTCCATCTACGATGCCGCATTCGATCAGTTGTCGAATACCAGCAAAGACATGCGGTCCATGGAAAGTAAGCCGCACTTTCGGCCTCCACTCTTCGTTCTCATCCCCGTCGCCTTGAGGGAATGGATCATCAATCACAACATCCACCCTCTCAACGCCCTTCCCATCCCTCATCTTCGCTGTATTCCCAAACCGCGCTTGCGCAACCCTCTTAGCTCTTCTGCGCGCCTCCTCTTCCTGTTCCTCAAGTGGTGCTTTAATCTTTATCCGCTTCTCCCTCCCCTCTCTCTGCTCATCCGCACCCTCGACGTCTTCCGAGTCTGGGGGACTCGGCAGCACCAGGTCTAGCGGCGTTTCCCTTTTTTGGTCGCGTCCTTTCATCTCATCTGCGTACCAGCTCCAGCCGCCACCAGCGAAGTTTGTTCTCCCCGGTCCTCGCCGCTCGACGAGCTCTTCTAGGTTGCGAGTGATTAAACCTGTGGATTGGAGGGTTACACGCTGACGCTGTAGTGGGCGGGAGAGGGCCTTTGGCAGACCCTCGAGGAGCAGGGACACCAAGGACTTTGATTCGCCCACTCCTGGTCCCGGCCCAGGCTTCTGAATTGGATCGACAGTTGTGGCCTGAGGACTAGAGAGGTAGACGTATGGCGCGGCATGAGGGAAGGCAATGTAGATCGTCCGTGACGAATCAAACGTCGTAGCACTCATCCCTCCATGCTGTAGACTAAGCGATGTATTATACGGCGAATCAATAACAAATATCCTCAGCAACAGCACCGGTAGCGTCCGGTGCGGCTCAAACGTATAATGCGCCTTCACATCCGGCAGAACCTGGGCCTGCAGGTTCCTTAGAAAGGTTGAAGGATGAAACCGCGGAATGCTCAATGACTCATTATCTGCCTTCAGCTGTTGTTCCCCATCCTGATCTTGTTGGAGCTTGAGCGGTACAACCTTGTACGCAGCCCAGCGCTGTGATGTCGGGTGGTCATGCATGTACTGTAGGTCGGCCATGGCCAGCTGGTACAGCGTCAGGCCGTGACGCCAGTCGCCGTCTAATATGCGATCGAGTACCTCGCGCTTGGAGCCCTTGCGAGCTTGCAGCGAGATGTAGAGCTCGCGCAGGGCGGCGGGGGAGCGGGCGGGGGGATAGAAATCGTCTGCGAACTCATCGTCTTCGTCGTCTGAAGGCTCATCCTCATCGTAGTAGTCTTCGCCTTGGTATGGTCGGCGCAAGAAGGGCATGGCAAGATGGAGGTTATCCTCATGCAGCCAGTCCAGGACAACAGAGAGGAGGGAGGGGCGTGAGAGTCGGCCCAGGATTTTGTGTACTGCAGGATTGGTTGGGTCGACGCGCAGTGACGACGGCAGGCGCGCCGTCGTGGGAATTGAAAGGCGAGGCATCGTGTCAAAACAAGTCCCTTTGGGGCCTACGACGGCCCATTGTTCGCCTGTGGCGGGCTGTCGTCAATGTCGCTGTGTTGACGCCGCGTCGCGTGTCGTCACTGTTGCTCGCGTCCCCACGTGAAATTTTGGCCATGGCCTTAGCCCTAACCCTTGGATAAATGGCTGTTCCTTAAGCCAACAGAAACCCTAACCCTGAACCCCACAGCCAATGGACGGCAGAGTCCGAGAAGAGTCCAAGCTTTCAGGCCAAGACCGGCTTGGCACCGGGGCAGACCGGGAGACTTGCTGACAAACCCACATTCTGGCATCGGAGGCACGTGTGGGCGGGAGCTGGCTGAACGCTGGGGTCAGTGGTTGGCTCTGTGTAACAAAACCCCACGCCGCGCCCTAAACCCCACTTTTTCTTCCCGCTTCCGCCTGGATCTGGATGCATCAACATGTGAACTTTGACCCGAGATTCCTCCATCCTGCCGACCCCTCACGGCAAGCAGGCTACCGAAAGCAGACGGTGGAGGCTGATGCACGTCATGTTAGGTGCTCTCTGGGGCTCTGAATCAGACTGATGATAAAAGCTCTTCTGGTCATGGTTTTGAAGTGCCGGACGTGAGGTTTCCTGCAGACAGCATTCGAGCGTCTGATTACACTAAAAAAGACTCCACTGTCACAGCCCTGCCACAGCGAAGCGATGTTGCGGTGATGCGCTATGGAACACACTGTGGCCCCGACGTCGGCGTGGGTCTCGCTGCTCGCATTATTGTCTTCCCGTTTTCCCGTCTCGGGTCCAGCCAATTCGTTCGCTGCCACTGAAACACCGAGCGTACAGCGCTATTGGAATCACTGCCAACATGCGCTATTCGACAATCCAACGCCGACGGTCAAGACCGCCGTGATTCCGAGGCCGCGTGGCAAATATGCTTTCAGAGCATGGCTTTCTGGGGCCCACAGAGCGGGTGATGTGTCAAGTGACAACGGTGTCCTTCGGAATTAGAGAAAAAGAGCTTTCTCAGATCTGCCGTGGAGGCAAGATCGAGATGAGCAGGGCAGTTCTTTGTATTCATAGCAGTTGTCCCAAGGTTTAACCTTCCCAACCATGGTGGATAGCAGCCTGGCTTCACTGGAGTGGTCAATTGGTAAAGAAGCGTGGTGATAAAAATGCATCTGCATGATTTAAGCCATCTGATTGGTCAGTAGTCCGCTTCTGCGCGTGGGATTGGCCAGTTCCAGACGGGAGGGCAGAAAGTGGTTTTACCGACGGCGTGGGATCCAGCTCGTTGTGACTAATAGGTACCGCTTTGTAGAGGCCTACCCGCCAGCAAAAAAGTGTCGGCTGCGGGAAGTGCACCAGCGAGCACACCACGCGAGACGGTTCCGATCCCGTAGAGAAGCTTTTGCAACTCCACTAGCTTGGGTGAGTTCGGTGGTAGCTTTAGCGAGGAAAAGGGCTGCTGGCGCTCCCTCATCTGCAGCTGTGTCCCCTCTTCTTGAATGCACCTCACCTGTTGGATTCTTTTCAACAACTCAGCGCCAGCTCGCTCCATCATCACCGTCACGGTGACCATCACCAACCCCTTCCATCGCCAAACACCGACAGCGGCCTTCAACGGCCCTTGCACCTGAACGAGTCCTGCTGAGGCTCTTTGTTTCAGGCCGGCCCCGTTCCTGACTCGCGGTCCAGATTCAGCATCCTAACGGGCCTTCACCGCGCTTTGTCAGGATAACCCCGCCTGAGGTAAAAGAACAGCCGAGTGAAGGCACTTCATCCCCGTCTGGCGGAGTGTCTTTGTCCTTGTGCCTCTCCAGTCCCGTCAAACCCACACAGAGGCCGACATCGCCCAGGGACCGACTCATTTCCATATCTCAGTCTGGCTCCCAAACGCAGACGGAGAGCTATCTCAACACCGAACGCAAGCATCGCCAACAGCATCGACCCCGCGCCCGTGCATCACCAGCTGACCGGTGACTCGACTGAGCGCTCGGGTCGCACCCGTATCGTCAATCGACTTTAGCAGTCAATTTTTTTTAGACGGATCCCCGGGGGAATTTCAAAGGCAGACAATCGCCAAAATGTCGTACGGGCGAGTCAACGTCTCGAACTATCTGCGCAACCTTAACGTCCAGGAGCCGGTGGTTGAGGAGACGTACATCACAGATGAGGACCTTGCCAAGGACCTGGCTCTTTTCACCAATACTCAGTTCTTCGATTTCGACTCTGGTCAGCACACCGACTACCAGGCGCCGCCCGTTAAACCCGAGGTGACAACCACGCAGTCGCCGATTACTGAGGAGAATGTTACGCCTACTGATCCTCTGCTGAGCGATTTCTCCGGCCAGTTCGACTTCAGCTTGCCTGGTGAGTAGTGTTCTGTTGTCATTCTGGAATCCCTCCTCATGTGAAATTTTTTATGATTTCCTCAGATGGCATCTCATGACAGTTACCATATATGCCAGCTGATGTTGTCATTTCCCTTCAATTCACCATCACTCTCATCATATCCCCTATTCCCGTTTCCGTACACTCTCATTGCAACGGCCGCTCGAAGCGAGTGCATCGTCGCGGCACCGGCATTTCACGCAAGACGGCTACATCAAAACTACACGACATGACGGGATCACGGCCAGCGTGAGAGGGTGATTGGCGCAGGCGTCGTCTCGTTATCTCGAATTGGAAACCGGGGCGTGGCCAGGTTGGCATGCTGGACGGCTTGTGCATCTTGCGTGCTTGCGTGCTCGCGTGCTGCAGGCGTGCACACAGCAGACAGCTTGTTGCTCGTTCGTTTGCCCAGCTCAAGGCATCTTTCTCAAAAGCCTTGGTCTTACCCCACACCCGGCCGACAAGAGATACAGACCGTCATGCGCAGTGCTCCATGGTTCTATGGCGCGCTTCTCACCTTCTGGACCGCATCCTGGGCTCCGGGAGGGGAAACGGGAGGGCTGGATTGCAGTTCTTGCTCCAGAAGGCAGGTCTTGCATGCAAAAATGCACCTGGACCCTTGGGGAACCACCACAGGTCATCTTCCGCCCCCCCCCCCCGGCTACCCCCCCGGGGCCCGCCTAAAGAGGAGCTGACAAATGATCGTCGTTGCCGAGTATGGTGTCATTTCTCGTGACCTGGGGCCGATTGCACCATCGACCTTGAAGCAGCAGCAATGCTGCATGGCGACATCGCGGCCCGCGCCAGCAAGTCTGGATATCTGCCGGGCCTCTCGCCGTCCTCTATTTTTTAGTGGTCTTATCGTCGGCGGCGACGCCTGCTTCTAGACCAGACTTGTCAATTGTTATCGTTGTCGTCTTCTCCCAAGAGTGTTCCACTCTTCGTCGTTGTCGTTCCCGCCGCTGACCATGGCACAATGGCTCCAGGCGACTTTGGCTTCGGCGACTTCAGCAGCACTTACACCTCGCCCACCATCCCAGCGTTCCCCGACCCGCTAGGGAACCACCATCATCCTCACCACCCGCTGCAGCCTTTGCAGCCCAATCCCCAGACTGCTCCGGCCTATCCTGCCCCTCCTGCCGTTTCCCAAGCCGCCCATGCCCACCACACCGGCACCTACGTGCCCCCTCCGGGCCCTGGGATAACCGCCCCGACCCCGGCCCCGACGACCCACACCCGCTCGGGCAGCATGGTTGGTGAGAAACGCAAGGTCCCGCACGAGGCTGCCGTGGCCGTCCAGCAGGCTGCCGCCGCGAACGGCCGGGTCCTCACCTTTGACGAGGCGGCTCGCCTGGCCGCCGAGGAGGACAAGCGCCGGCGCAACACGGCCGCGTCGGCGCGCTTCCGCATCAAGAAAAAGCAGCGGGAGCAGGCGCTCGAGCGCACGGCCAAGGAGATGGGCGAGAAGGTCACCATCCTGGAGGGCCGCATCTCGGCTCTGGAGACGGAGAACCGCTGGCTCAAGAGCTTGGTTACGGAGAAGCATGGTGGTCGTGATGATATCCTGGAAAAATTGCTGAAGGAGTTCGCGGCGGCAGAAAAGAAAGAGAAGGAGGAGAAGGAGAAGAGGGAGAAGGAGGGCAGTGAAACGAACGGGGTTAAGAAAGAGGAGAAGAAGGAGGGCTCGGAGGAGGTCAAAGACAGCATTACCGCTGCTACTACTGCAAAGGACAAGAGCTCGTCTCCGGCTGCAGCAGCGAAGAACTAAGCGATGAAGGTCAAAGGAGATGAGATACGCTTACTGAACTGGTATGAAACCGGGCTTATCATTTTTCAAAGTCAAGGAGCGGACTACGGTATGGGATGGTTGGGAGATACCTGATTATGATTAGGTTTCAAAAAAATGGAGGAACGTTAGTCCGGGATTTTTTTTTCGTCTCCTCAATTATGATATTATGGCTCGAAATGTAGGGGGGCTTGGGAAAGATATATTAGGAGGATTAAAATACAGGTCGGACAGGCCGGGTATATTCCTCCATTTTCTTGCGTTCAGTTTCCTCTATCGGTTTTTTTGGGTCTCGTTTCTTTTTTGTCCAATTCAATGTCATGATCTATATCTCGTCTCATCATCTCTTGATATCATTGATCATCATTTTTGGGGCGTTGAACCGGTTGTGTGAATTTAACCTGGGTGGAGGGGGTCGATCAGGTCCGGCGCGGTGGTGGGGCTCCGGGGTTAGGGGATGGCCATCAGGGGGGTTGGTTCTTGGAGAACTGATGTGTGTGTGTGTGTTTGATGCTGATTATCGATCAGTTTATGTGTTGATGAATGGCAGTCATATATATCCCCCAGATCTCGCTTTTCGTGATGTTGACAGATGGCTCTTTTTTTAACTATGGGTGGACGGTGGGGAACCTGGGGGGTTATATCAAGAAGGCCTGATATTGTGAATGATCTGGTGCCGGGGTGCTCCTGAGACGAGAATCACGGTCTGATGGCATGGTTTGCCTAGTAGGACCTGGAGCAGGGATGGATGGTTAAGCTGAAAGGAGATGTATTGTGTATATGCTTTGAGCGGATAGGTATCTGATTCTCCGTCTAATGCCGACCTGACCTGGCCTGGCTAGGTACATGCTGTTGCTCCTGTATGCTTCTGTACAATATCAAAACGCCTACCAGTATCCTGACCCGAGTCTTTTCTCTATCCTTTCCCCCTCCAAATGCATCACTCCTGCTTAACCTCCTCCTTCTTCCCCTGGACCTCTCCGTAGTTATTTTCCTCCCCCTTATAATCCGCCGGCCTTCCAGCCCGCAAATTCGCCAGCCGCAGCTGGTTCCGCTTGCACAAAATCCGCAGCGTATTTGCCCGCTCAATCTCTGTCATCTCGGGCCAGTTTGCGATACGCGACACCGTCCCGTCCCGACCTACCACCATCGGCCCTAGGTTGTCCAGCGCCACTGCTTGCCCGTTCACCATCACTGTGCGCATCCCGTTGCCGCTGTCGGTGTCTTCACCCGGCGGAGGGGGCGCTGGCAGGGCCGGGAGGGCTCTGGGAGCGTCGGGGTTGGTCGTTTGTTCGCCATCGGCAGTAGCCTCGACATTGGTGGTGGTTGTGGTGGTGGCTTCCTCAGCGGCGTCCTGCACCGATGGTGCGTGTCCTGGCACAGTTGACGTGCTTGCGGGGCTGGTCGCCTCCGTTCCCAAGTTGCTGGTGCTGCTGAACGTCATAATTTGGTGGTGGATGCGGGGGCAGGTCGCGGTAGTATTGGGTGTTAGGCGCGGAGTTAACGGTGAAAAGAGGGTTGTCGCCGCTGTTGAAACTGTCGAGAGTGCTGCTGCGGGTGTGATAATGCGCGGGAGGAGGATGCTGCTTGTGCCGAGGAGAGTTGTCGTAAGTGTTGTCACTGTCGTTGGAATGCGGATGGGCATGGATATGGATTGGTGCGACCTATTGGGTCGTCTTCGCGGGCGGGCGCAGAATGTATCTGCCTGCCTGCCTGCCTGCTGGTTCCTTCTTTTAGATTTGATAAAGTGAGGGGTTGCGATATACTGCGGGGTTGGTGGCTCTGATTTGCTGGGTTGTGCGAGCCGTCAGTGGTTCACTCCCTCTTCTGGCAACTTCTCGATAGAGATGTGCTGGGTGGTGTCGATGTGACAGATGGGTGCCGTGGTGCTTTTACAGGGTGTTGAAGCCCAATATCAGGCTTAGAGATGGTCACTGGAGTGTATTTGGGGAGAGGAAAGTCAATGTGTGATCACATAAGTCAATTGCGAGATATACAGTGTATGGCAGCCGTTTTCTCGTGCCCAACGTGATCGTTGGCGGGAACTGGAAACGTCTAGAAGTTCCTCGCGATTGCGCCCCTCCGAGCGACGGTGAGCTCGGTGAGAGTACTTCACCGAGAGCTTCACCTTGGCAGAGCTCAGCCGGGCGCCAAGCTTCCCCCGGGTGCCAAGGTTCGACTTGTGGATCTTCTCTTGGCACCTGGGACAAACGATCACGGACGTCACAAGAATGGGAATCTCCGTTGTCCATCATCAGGGCAGCATTGCATCAACTTCCAAAACATCTCAACGGACCTTCGTCTAGCTCTCGGGTGCTCGACCCGAAAGGCTAGCCACGTCCCAACGGCCACGTTTTGAAGCCAGTCTCAAAACTAACGACTAAACCCAAGCCTTTTTGCTGCAATGGTAATGCATAGTTCTCTGCGCCGATGACAACCGAAACCTAACCTGATCACGCAATGCGCGGGCCGACAGGCGTCACCGGGCCTTTGTCCTCGTCCCCAGGCCTCAACGGGTACGCCTCTTCAGTCCGCCACTTTCATTGACCAATAGCTATGAATGTTTTTTCAACGTTGATGAAGTGGATGGCTGCCCTTTCGATCTCAACATCTTCCCCATGCATCTACCGTCCATCGGTGTGCTCTGGTCAGCAGCTGGGCTCTTCTTGCATATCAACGGCATAACAGTAGCGTAGGGGCAAAATATTCGGCCTTGCTGCCTGCAACATATCTATTCCATTTGATGGACCACGGACGGGTGAGCGAACTATCCGGCCCGGGCCCAGTCTGACCCTTCTGTTAAGGCCTAAAATAAAACAGCCACCCACGTCCCCCACGAACGCCCAGGGGCTCCTGGGGCATCTTCTACGTAAAAGAAACCCGGGAAAAACACCCTGTGCGAGCACGTGCTGTCGCAACGGTGCAATTCTGCATGAGATTGTTTATGAAATGGCCGCTAACTCATCAGATCCATTCTTTTGCCGCTGGGCTGGGCTGGGCTAGGCATTCACGTTCTCAGCTCACGCGGGCGTCGTGCCTGTGGGCTGTGTTGGATGTCAGATCGGTCCCTCCGTGAGGCAGGAATCTCAGCTGAAGGGGAAGCCAGGCTACTTGAGCAGGTACCTGAACCTGAGTTCCAACAGCCGAGGTCGATGGATACTGTTCAGAACCGTGAGCGTGAGGCGTGGGGGTTGGGGTAGCAGCTGGGTAAATGTTCAGGACGAGGTACATGGAGGTACCTCACTATCTTTTTGCGTGAAAGCGCGAGCCTTCGGAGAGGAGGATCCTTGGGCCCGGTCTTATGCCCGGTCTTGTGCCGCGGTTTAATGGTGTTTTTATTTATGATTATTATAAGTCTGTTACCTTCTCGCCGATGTAAGAGTGGTGGTTTGCTCTTCTCCGCGGAGTGCTTTGTTGGATGTGAGGCTGGTTTGGCATCGGATAACGGTCTTCCCGACGCCCTTTGAGGACATATTGGCTTAGGGTATCGCTTTCAGATGAGGACATTGGATATTTGAAAGGGCGCGCGAGTTCTCGACCCGATCCAAAACTTTTCGTTGTGTTGTGGTGTTGCACGCTTCTTCCCAGTTGGTCTTCCAAGTTGCTGCGCTGACGCAAGTGTTTCATGCAGGCCACTGCTTGGTATCATTGAGACCATTGCTAAAGTTCCATTCTCACAATTCGCTCTTGCTGCATGAGAGACTCCCGGAAGCTCTGTATCGGATTGTAGTAGAGTTCATGGACGACCACCGTACACAGAAACTGTCCTTCATGTAAGCTCACGCATTTTGAGCAGATAAAACCCATGCCTCAACGTCTGCTCATTAACGGCAGTTCCAGGTGCCCGGGTAGTGAATAACTTCCCTTAATTCAGTCCCTAACAGGCCAAGGTGACTCTAAAGTGGAAGCCAAATCTCTATCTCACCATGACTGGTTGGGTCTTGGAATATCACACAAAACACACGGAGAAAGATATATATAGTCAATGATGAGAAAAGTTATGGTTCATTGTGCTTTATTACCATTACCAGATGCATCCCTCCCTAGTAGTTTCCTGTAGGATCTATCGATCTTTTGCCAGTGGCATGTAACGATTGATGTGCTGGTCAAGAGGGCAGCCAAGAGCTAGTTTTGAGTCTGCTGGTTCGCCTGGGTCTGACCTCTAAGCTTCTTCTCCATGTTGCGGAACCTACATACTGGTTAACATCATCCACGGCAGGGAGAAGTCACCGCAACTTACTTATTAACAACACTCTCAATCCCATCACACCCCCTCTTCAGCACCTCCATCTTCGGCCCGTATGAAACCCTCACAAAGTGATGGCACGGACTATCAAATAAATCCCTTCTCCTCGACGGGTTCAAGTCGAAGAAAATCCCCGGCACGACAATAACCTTCTCCTCCAAACAAGCCTGGAAGAAGTTCAGGCCGTCCGAGATCGGCGCAGGCAAGCCTTCCAGGTTCAGCCACAAGTAGAAGGTTGAGTCTGGCACATAGCGGATCGAGAAGCCCATGGCGCGCAAGCGGGCCACGACATAGTCGCGCTTCTCGCGGAAGTGTTTTTGCAGCGCGGCCATCTCTTGCTTGACCAAGGAGGGCTCGAGCATGGGAATCGCGGCTTCTTGGAAGGGCACGTTAGTGCCGCCGTCGAGGTAGCTTCCGCAGGAGCCGATGCTGTTGGTTCACTGGTTAGAGGGCAGTTTCGAAAAAGGGGAGAGAGGATAAAGGGGCGTACGCCTTGATGAAGTCCTTTGGGCCGAGGATCCAGGCAACGCGCCAGCCGGGAAGGCGGAAGGTCTTGGTCAGGCCGTCGAGGATGAGGACGTCGTCCTTATCAACGTCTTCGATATTCTCCTATTGTTGGGGTCAGATCCATCCGTTTTCCATTGCTGTCACTAATAGTGGGACTTACCGCCGCGCTGATAGTCGACCCATCACAATCAGTGGTGTAATTATAACCTGAATAGAACTCGTCGCAAATCAGAGTCGCGCGGTCACGACAAATATTTTGGATCTCGGCCAGCTCCGGGTTGGTCACAACGCGGCCGGTCGGGTTACGCGGGTTCGAGGTCAGGATGACGCCTGTGCCGCGGGAGATTTCCTCGGCGATCTTGTCCGGATGGATGTGGTAGCCGTCTTCTTCGGAGAGAGGGACGGGGATGGCGGCGAACTTTGCTAATGTTAGCCCGGGCTGTGAAAGGAAGGGTGGGGGGAAAGGGAGGTACGTACGTTCTTGAACAGTGAGAGCATTTCATTGTAGGCTGGATGGTCAGTAGTATCCTCTCTGCTTATGCTACGCAGCGCCACATACCAGTGTAATCGGGGATGAAGAAGCCAACGTATGTATTGCCCAACACAGCAGCAATGCGTATCAGACCGGCACGGCCGCCAGGCACGATGCAGACGTTCTCCCAGGTGTACTGGCTGGGCTTGCCCTTGCGGTGCATCTCGTTGTAGAGGCGAGCCACTGCCTCGCGGAGAGGCTTGATACCGGCGGTAGGGCCATACTCGCGGCTGGCGGTGCTAATATCGATGGACTTGGGGCGCGGGAAGCAGCCTTCGATTTCGTCATCGACCTCGGGGGCACCCTCTGAACAGGGTGTTAGTTTGCGTTAACATTGGTACCAATATTTGGACACAATGGCGTCCACGCAGAAGCAGGGGCGCACGTACGGCCAAGGTTCGCCCACTTCTCGGGTTCATCGAGGAAACCGTGTTCGGCAGCTTGCTCGGTGCACCAAACAACGCCGGTAGACGAGCGGGTGGGATCGAGGCCGGCATGGGGGAGGTGACTATCAATGTTAGCAAAGCTCCCTATCTCGACACTAGCACTGAGATTCATAATACCCTTCATGAGCAGCACGGAAGTCTCGATGGGCCTGGCTACTGGATTCTGAGACGGGTGAGTATGCAATGATCTCAACAAGCCGATTCTTGTTGACTTGTCTCGTACCAGTATAGCCCGGCTCGCCCAGGGAGAAGCGGCGGGCAGGCCGGGGTAGGCCGGTATTCCGGTTGATACTGAACTTGCGATTACGTCGGAAGGCTAGATGGTCGTCCATGGTGGTGAGCTACGCAATGAGCGCACTTCGCGGGTCGTCAAGCAGAGGAAAAACTAGAACTGGAGAAATTGCGAGGGCTTTGAGTGCAAAAGAAACTGCTTAGACTCGAAGCTGACAAGAAAGGTGGCACACGCAGTATGAAACGGCGTTTTATTTGGTCTTTTACTGGCTGCAGGTCATCGAGCTCGACCAACAGGAGCGAGCCACAGGCTCAACTTATAAGTCCCAATACCACACATTCCTCGGTCCGCTATTACGTGGTTCTGTTCCTGAGGCCGCTTCGCATCCGGCAAGTTTGGCCAGAGTTGGCGGTCTGAGATACGGCCACATGATCGCTTGGATCTTGAATAACATTGGATGAAGGGGGGTTCATCGGGGATCGCCTTGTGTTGTTCGGTGCTTGGACTGTCTTAAGACTCGAAACATATATGCTGCTTTTCCACGACGATGTTGCGAGGGTTCTTTTTAGGATTTATTCTGGTAACTTGATCACATTAACATTGATGTGATCATAATTTTAGAGCGCCATCACAGGACACTCGTCCTATTTAGTAGTCCATTGCTCTCCAAGACAGCTTGCCCAACATGATGTTAATGGGATTTGGCAGAAGCTGATGTTGTCTAGCACAGTGCGTCAATGTGGATCGAGGGCCCCGCTGTCCACTGGGCTGAAGTGCGGGGCTGACGGGCAGATCTCTTGGCCCAGATCCCCTGCCAAGCACGGAGAGACCCATGAACCTGTCACGTGGCTCGACATCGGCGGCCTGCTGCACTGCCAACTCTGTTCCCTCCATCCTGTAAAAATCGAGACCTCTGCCACGAGGTCGCAGTCTCTTCCTGTTGACTCAGTAATAGAGATTCTAAATAAGCTTTCGAAATATTACATTCTTGACGTTGACCAAGCTTGAATGTCTCTTCCTTTCGTCCCATCATGTTGAGTGCGTGGAATTAAGAAAATTCGAATCAGCGTGGACCTTTTACGCCCCGCCAACTGGCCAAACGCGCCGAGGCAAAAGCGCAACACTATCTCTCTTTAGGATGTCCAGGTTTTTCATCAGAAGTGTGACTGGGTTTCTACGCTTTTTTGAACATAATCATCTTTGAGAATCAGTATAGTCATTGACGAAGTCAGAAAACCGTGGCTCTACAGCTTGAGCCAGTCTTCTACGCCTTTTGTTCAGGGCGTCGGTGAGCTATGCCGCCCACTTCAAGATATCAGGGTATACATCAAACTAGAGCCTACAAAGAGCTGATGGCATTCAGCCAGGGGACTCGCCCAAGATTTCGAGGCTTTGTGCTATCTCAGTTTCGGGCAACATCGAACTTTTCTTTGATCAAGCCTTGAGAACGAAGCTGCCAACGGAAAGGCGCCATCATTCCAATACGAACCGCGCGAACCTCCCACATCTCTAGATGTTAAGGCTATGCATCGCGATTTTCGTCTGTCAGCCTCGAAACCACGGGATCGTGAGTGTTGTTTGTTCTGACAGCTGCACACCCCTACTGACGCCTGTTGGCGGGTGCAAGGCTGACCAATAAGAATACAACGTCATATGGAGGCTTTGCAATCCTCTCCGTCACCAGCCACACAACCCTCCGTGCCATAAAGCCTAACCGCACCGAGAGGCACGGTTCTTGTGCATGGATATGGTGAGCCTTTCGGGGGTGGCTTAGCATGGAAGCGGGCAAACGCGGTGCGCACAAATGCTACTAGGCACAGAGCTATGTACTCGGGCAACATTTTGGCGACATCACTAGCGCAGACGAGATGGATGGGTTGTGGATCACATTGCAAATGCAATCTACCGTGGGCTTAGACGGGGCAAGCTCTTGCCAGTGGTATCGCCAGTGCAGATCCTGAATGCGCATGATGTTGGCTCTGGTATTGGGCCATGATGTCCAGTATAAAGAGGCTGGTGGCCAAGGGGCAAAGTGAGACCCAACACCTGAACCAGTCAGCAGCTCTTTTGAGCAAACAGATGGGTAGTCACGCTTTCCCGTCATTGTTCTCAGGTCCTCTCGATTTCATGCTTTTTTTGCCCTTCCCTAGTGTATGTTGCTCAGGATCCATTATAAACCAACAGTTCCGTGAGAGATTCCCCCGTTCCAGCTGTCTACATCTACGCTTCTGCCCCTGGCTCGACGCTCAGAACTGATAGACCGTCCTTCTTGAACTCCATATCCCAGTGGATCTGCTGTCGGCTGCGAAAACAGAAATGGCTTCCCTCTTTGGATCTCTCAAGAAGAAGATCAAATCCCGGTCTCCGAGCCCAAACCCAGGGGCGCCGGGGTCGCCAACCTTGGGCAGGAAGGGATCCTTCGTTAAGAATAACCCATTTGCCTCTTCATCCCCGCCAACAGCAGAACCGTTCCTAAATCTCCAGGACAACAATGACCCCCCGCCGCCGTCCTACGCGGAGGCAATCGGGCAGGACTCCTCCTCTTCGCCATTCATCTCCCTTCGGTCCGCCTCTCCCGCCCCCTCCATCCGCTCCTACCTGAGCACCTCCGAGGACAAGTACGCCTTCCTCCGCAAATTCGACACCAAATTCCTCATTGATGACTCCGGTTCGATGCAGGGCCGGCGCTGGCAGGAAGTCGCTGGCGTCCTCAGGGCCATCACCCCGATCTGCACGGAGCGCGACGCGGACGGCATCGACGTCTACTTCATCAACCATAATGCCCCCGGCGGGTACAAGAACATCCGGACGCCGGAGCAGGTCGATCAGCTGTTCCGGTCGACGAAGCCGATTGGTGGGACGATGACGGGGTGGAGGATCAACCAGATCTTGCTGCCGGAGGTGGTGAAGTTTGAGGAGGCCGTGCGGACACTCAAGAAGCAGATGAAGAACAAGGATGCCATCATTGATACCACCGAAATTGACGTCAAGCCCGTCAACCTGATCGTCATCACAGACGGGGAGGCGCAGGACGACGTGGAGTCGTACATCAAGGCGCTTGCGCAAAGGCTGGACAATGTCTCGGCGCCCGCGTGGCAGATTGGCATCCAATTCTTCCAGGTCGGTGACGATGCCAAAGCCGACGCGGCTCTAAGGCAGTTGGACGATGGACTGACTGGTGTGAGGGATATGGTTGATAAAGTGTCGTGGACGGATAGGGAGGGCTCCGAGAAGACGCTTTCTGCCGATGGTATTCTCAAGACCGTGTTGGGGGCTGTGCATAGGCGGTTGGATAGGATGGAGGTTGAGAGTTCTAGAAGGTATCTTAGACCGTAGTAGAGCGGGGATTTTCGATTGTTTCAGCGTGTTAGCCTTTTCTTTTCTTTTTTTTTTCTTTTCTTTTTTTCTTTTCTTTTTTTTCGCGGGCTTTTGAGTGAGTACACTGGGGTGAGTTTGAGCATGATGATAATGGAGTTTTGGGTATTGGTGAGCACGGTCAGGTCAGCGTGATAGAGGAGGAGCCCTCGAAGCATATTGGCACTGTACTATCTACCGATACCCTGGGTTGGAGCGAAGGAGCTGTGTGGACATAGAACAGGATACACAATGAAAAAAAAAAAATAAATAAATATTTGAAATTTCAGTTGGTGGACGCAGCCGTGGACCACACTGGTCATAATAATCATTACTATCATGATCATAATAACTCTAAAGCTCAAACAAAACTCCCACAAGCCAAACCATAAAGTAGTAATCCGTACAATAGGAAACCTTCACAAAACGCCCTTCCCTCTTCCTGCCTACCTGCCCGTCCACCCGTCGTTCGTCATCCCGTTTTCCCATTCCCCCAAAAGACCTGATACATGCACGAATACAGAATAAGCAAACAGAACAGTAAGAGCATCTAATACTTAACAAGCCAACAACGACAGAGAGGGGTTCCCTTGGCCAGCAACATACACCAATCCCTTCCCCCTATGCAAAACTATCCTCCACCCCCCACCGACTCTTAGTCGTCCCCTCTCCATTCTGATTAGTATCCCCCCTAATTAACCCCCTCTCCCTTATAACCCTCCAAACCTCATCCCCGTCCCTCGGCGTGCCCATTCTCTTGGCATCAAACCCTAATCCATCAACCTTCCTCAGCCCAGGACACCTGCTCGCAAGCAGCGCTTCATACAGCCTCCTGCGCACACGGGTATCCATATCCAGTCGGGCCCGGAAGGAACTATCTTGTGTGGGCGACTGGTCCGGGAGTGTAAAGGACTGGGAAGGAGAGGCGTCGAGGTCGGAGGATTCGGAGTCAGAGTTGTGATTATCATGGGGGTCGTCTTCGGAGTTATGTTGGGGGTCCAGGGGTGGGAGGGCTGGATCGTCGGGAAGGGAAGGGAAGGGAGTGTCCTTGGGAGTGTCAGGCTCTTTGGTAGCCGTCTCCTCGGTAGCAGCGGCAGAGCTACCGCTCACGTCACGCTTCTTCCCCTTCTTTCCTTTGGCAACAGCCAACGCACCCAGCTTATAAAACCCCCCTGTACACGGGTTCTCCCTCACATCCAACACCCTCAACCCCCGCCAAGAACTCAACACGCTAACCAACTTCCCCAAATCCCCAATCCGATTCCCCGCCACAAACACCTTCCTCACCCGTCCCGCCCCTTTCAATCCCTCGATGCTCTTGAGAGCATTCATATTCAAGTTAACTACCCTCAAATTGGGCAAGAAAAGCCCCAAATCTTCGGGTAGTTGAACCAACCCACAATTTGCGACCTCCAAGACCTGCAGGTTGAGCATATCCGTTCTCGGCACAAACCCTTTACTCAATAAATTCCCGCTGAGGAACAGCTTGCGCACCTCGAATGCCCTGGCCAAAAGGTGTGTCACGTCGAGACCCTTCTCGCCATGCTGTTCGCGGAGGGAAAGGGAGTCTAGATGGCGGCAGGAACGGGGGTTTAGGTTGTCGAGTTGGATGAGGTTGTTGCGGTCAGCGTGGAGGAGACGTAGGTGGGGAAGGTTTGCTAGAGACAGGGAGACGAGGTGGTTATCACTGAGATGGAGGTACTTGAGGGCGGGGCAGGGGCCGTCGGTGTCGTCTACGGCGAAGGTGGTGAGGTTGTTGTGGGCGAGGTTGAGGGTTGTGAGGGCGGGGAGACGGGCGAGGCCTGTGACGCGGGAGATGCGGTTATGCTTGAGGTCTAACGTCGCCAGCTCGTTCATAGTCGATGAGGAGAGATCCAAGACAGTAAGTGCGTTGTTCCTCGCGCGCAGCGATTGCAGATACCGATGGAACTTGATCCCGTCCAGCGAGGCCAGGCGGTTGTTATCCGCTTTGAGGACCCTCAAATGTACGAGATGCTGCAGCGGCGAGAGCGTGGTGAGATCGTTGCCCGATACATCGAGGTACTGCAGATTCTGTAGGTGACTCCATGCCGTTAGGTCGCTTAACAGATTCTCCATAGCCCGGAGATGCAACACCGTCCCAGGGATCCCGCCCAAGTTCCTGATCCGATTATGCGACAGATCCAGCGTCCTTAGCTTGGGACAGAACTCTTCCAGTGCATGCACAGCGGTCAACCCCTTCCTGCGAAGATCCAACTCCTTCATATCCTCCCAGTAGGGCTCAAACGGCTCGACCTCGGCCAGTTTAGCCACCAGCTCTTGCACACTAAGTGAGACGGTGCGTTTACCCTCAGGATTGCCCGTCGCAAAACGGTGGTTGCCGACGACGTAGCTAGCCTCGAGCGGCAGCGACTCATTTGGGCGGTGAATAGTAAATGTAGACAGCGGGCTCAGCGAGAGGTTGCCCACATAAGTGTTGAGCACCGCAACCGGATCTGCCTCCACCACAGGGCATTTCGTGTTGCGACCGACGGGCGGCGTAGCGACCAGCAAACTAAGCGTCTGGTCCCCTGTGACAGCGGCAGGGTTCTTCCCCTTCTCCTTGTCACCCCCCCTCTCGGGACTGACAACACTCATACTCATATCCCCCACCAAACTCAGTTCCATCCCCTTGGAATTCTCCTCCGGCGGCAGAACGAGATTCTCAGCTCCCGCTGCAAGGCCAACATTTCCTTGATCTTCTGACTCTTCACTGCGCTCATCAATCCTGCTCACCGGTCTCGCCGTCTGCGTCTCCCCGCCCACAGAAAACTGTCTCATAGGCACCGTCGGACGCGACCCATTCGACCTCGTACTAGCGATAGTCTCGTACCCCGCCGGCAGCGGCCTATTCACCACGGAAGGTGTACTCCCCGACGGCGGTTGACTCCCTGTCTCATCTGTAGTCGTCGCTGTCCCCAAACTCCGCTGATCAACAATGACCTCTGCCAGCGGCGACGAGAACGCGAGTTTCCTTGGATCCCTTCCCTTTTCATTCCCCAACCCAGCCGGCGGTTTAAGATTAAGCATCTCGCTCGTCATATCCACGCTCAAATCCGGAATCCCCGCAAACGGATCTTCCTCATCCTCGCTCTCCTCGACCGACACCTTCCCTTTTACACCATTCTGCTCCGGGCCCCCGGCCGCAGAAGTCTTCCTCTTCACCCACACCTGACGCTCCCTGTCGAGAACCATGTCCCCTACTTGATCAGGAATTAAGTGCGACACACTCTCAGGGGCAATTGTCTTGCGCGCGTCATTGGGGTTCGACCCGCGCGAAGACCCGGCGCGCAGCATCGATACGGAGAGCGCGCTCGCGCCAGAGACGTGCCTACTTGATGGCGCAGGGCCCTCCTCATTGTGCGGGCCGGATGGTTGTGGCGAGGGCCAGCCGTTGTTGGGAGGGATGATTTTGACTTGAGGAAGGTTGCCCATGACGGCTGCTGCACCAGGAGTGTTGGATAGCCAGGTGCGTGTGGCACGGCTATCCCAGCTGGAGTGTCGGTCGAAGGAGTCGTGTGGTGACTGCTGCTGAGGCTGTGGCGGTTGTTGCAACTGCGATCCCTGCATCTGCATCCAAAGCTGCTGCCTTTTCGCCATGGAATTGAGCATGGCACTCTGTCTCAATCCCCCGGACCTCATCGACGCAACCACATCCCCCATTCCATCATCCCCCTCTTCGTACTTCTTCAACTGCTCCGCCAACACGGGATCCTCTTGCCTTGTGCTCCGTCTCGGCAAAGGCGGTCTCCCCTCTCTGCTCGGAGGCCTAGAAAACGGCTCCTTGTCGGATTCAAACGACATGTCGCCCTCCCCCTGTTCTTCCCGCTGTCCTTCCTGTTGTTCATCAGACTCCTTCATTCCCTCCCCCTCCTCTTCCACACTCCCGAGCCCCCTCCCCGTCTGTAGCCCCGCCTTACTGCGGATCATCGCCATAATTTTATTCGCCTCGTGCAAAAAGTCCTCCGTTTTTATCGACGGCTTTCTGTTCGTCTCCATCATTGCGCTGCCAGGCGGCAGGGCGGTAGGTCCCGTAGGCGGCTGCCCGCCCAACCTGCTTGCTCTGAGGGGCCGCACCTCGAAGTCAACCGGATGGGTAGTAGCAGAAGCCCGTTGCGGGGGCGATGGCGTCCCCGACCGTGTGATACCCCCATCTTGGTCGGGAGAGTGTTGTCCCGGGCTAGGCGTCTGCTCGTGCTCGAGTTGGAGCTGCTGCTCGCCGCCAAGGAGTAACCTTCCGTCCTCGATGCCGTAGGCGATATCTGAGCGGTGTAGCGTTCTCCTCCGTTTGGGGGTAGGATCATACTTGCAGGGCGACGTACGCGGACGCTTGGGTTCGTTCATCGCGTCTCTTCTTCTGTGGGGCGTCGATAGCGGAAGTTCAGTTGCACCGGAGGGGTAGACAGGTAGCGAGGCCCTAGCTGTGCGCCGACGAGATTTTCCCCTGCGTCGAGGGAGCACGAACTGGGAGTCGGCTTGGTCAGATGGCGAGTTTGTGTGGCTGAGGTCGAAGATAGGCTGGAATTTCTGGTTCGGGCTGGGGGAGTCGCCGTATTCGTCGTCACCGTCGAGCTGGCGATAAGGACCGCGGTTCTCCTTGTCGCCGTCCATGCCTCCTGAGTGATCGAGGTGAGAGAACTCGTCTTCATGAAACTCGTACCCGTCGAGCTCGCCTGCGCCGAAACGGCTGGTTGAGACCTGCCTAGGGCGGCCGTGGGACTGGTTACGCGGCGGGGACTCGCCTTCTTTGGCGCCGGGAGAGTAAGTACTGCCGTTGGCCTCACCATCACCAGCAGGCTCATGGAACTGACTAAGCCTGCGCATGAGCGTCTGACTGGTGAACGTGTCGTACGGCTGGAATAGTTTGAGCGGACTGTTCCCCGGCCCAACAGCCAGACCAGCTCTCTTCTCCTCTCTGGGGGGGCTCTGATCCGGACTCTTATCAAACGCAGGATCATTTTCCTCTTCCTCAGGCCTCTCCGACCGAACACTAGGAAACTTCTTCGGCGTACTCGCCTGCAACGATGTCTCCGGATTCAGTTCCGAAATCTCATTCAACGCCTCGCTCAACCCCTCCATCCTAAACGAATCGACTTCCCTGCTCCCCCTCTTGAAATTGACATACCTCCCCAACCGCTCCAAATCTTCACTCGTCTCAACAATTCCCATCAACGACCCCGTCTCAGACCTCGCATCGCCCGTGAAGAGCATCTGATTCTGCCTCTGCCTAAGACGCTGCAATCTTCTCTTAAGCTCCTCCGGCGGAAGTTCCATGGGCTGAAAAGCAATGGTGCGCCCGTCGCTGGCTTGGAGTCGCTCCAGAATGATTGGGCTGAAGTCCTCATTGCGGATGTCGCTGCGTCCGCTGACCTTGCGGGAGCCGTCGTCGCCGCCGTTACTGAGAATGTCGGAGGGGACGTTGAGGTGTTGGGCTGGTTTTGGGGGGGGCACGGCTGGGGAGGATGTGTTGATCGCTGGGGGGATCGGCTGTTGTTGATGGTTTTGGTCTGCTGGGGGCATGCCATCTGGGGAAGGGGAGCGTCTGCTCGGGGAACGGTCGGATTCAGAGGAGGTGCGACGGTAACGGATTTGTCGGGGGCCGCGGCGGGGAGGAGGCGGTTGAGGAGGGGATTCGGTTGGGGATCGGGAGAACTTGTCATCGTCGTGGGCAGCGTTTGGTTCGGGGGATGCGTCGGGAGGATATACAGGCGGAGGTCTGGCTGAGAATGTGACACGAGGATGGCTCTGGGGCTCTGGGTATTCTTCTGAAGGCTCGGGCTCGTTGTGGTCAGATTCTTGTTCATGTTCTTGGTCCTGTTCTTCCTGTTCTTGATCCTGTTCGTGCTCTTCATGATCATTCTCGTGCTCATGCTCATGCTCATGCTCATGCTCATGCTCAGGCTCGAGCTCGAACTCGTGCTCGTGCTCATCATCTTCCTGCTCATGTTGCTCATCATTGTTCCACGTTTGCGGCTGCGGTGACTCCTCCATCTTCTCGGTCACAGCGGTCGTCGGACGTGTGGATGGAGTGGTCGTGGGCGGAGGCTTGAAAATATTCTCGAGACCTGTTCCTGCCGATGTGAATAAGTCGCGCTGCTCGCCGTAAGACAGTTCCCCATATACCAGTCGTCGCTTCCACTCGGGCGTATCTCCTGTACCACGGACATTCGCCGCGCCGCCCGATTTGCGAAGCATTGGTCGTCGTATGACCGATGCCGTTGATGATGCCGATGCTGAGCGACATGCCTGGCAGTCACGCACGCCGCTTTTTCCGGGGTTTGCACTCGAATTATTACTGCTGCAACTATGACTGCGGCTAGCATTGCTCGTGTTATTGCCATCGCTATTATTGCTACTCCCAGGATATATCTCCCGCGACAGCTTTGACGGGGTATGTTTTCTACTATGGCCCAGCGCGGCGGTTCGGCGCTCGTGCAGATGAAGGTTGCGCTCGTTGAGGACGCTCGTGTTCCCGTTCGGACTGCTGCTGATGCTGTTATCGGCGCCATGCTGTTGTAGTCCTTTTTTCCCTCGGGGACTGGGCCGCGGGATCTTGCTACTGCGCGCAGCCGCTTTGGGACGAAGTTGTGGCTTAGGCGACGGCGAAGGCGCAAGGTCGGCAAACGACGCGTCGATCGGCGACCCGGGCTGCGACACCCAGTCCTCGTCGAGCGAGTCCAGCCATGCAGGGCCCATGGCGGCTGGCCTATGATATGTGCGAAGTGTTGCGCGCCAGCTTGCTTCGTTCGTAACCGCTCGTGATCTTGGTCCTGGCGGTGATAGTACGCGATGGTGGCGTGTTCGTGATCCGTGTCGGACTTAAACCGTTCGGTCGATGGCGGGGCACTCGACCCGCGGTCTCAATGTCACCGTCGCCGTCACCGCGTCGAAACGGGCTTCTTAGGGCTGTTGAATCGCGCTCTAAGAGAAAGGTTTGCTTGTTGCTGGCTTTAGTAAAATGAACAAAATCCAAATCCCCCTCCGTGTCGTCATCAGCTAAGAGTTCAGGAAGAAAAACGGCGATAAGATAGGCTGGATGGACGAGTTCCCCCCTGCGATCGCTGCCGGCGCATGTGCTCGTGCTGGAAAATGTTCATGGAATGCGCCGCGCTACCTTTTCATTGGCCACAACTCCCTGTCGCGTCGTCGTAAACACCACATTGCATTTCTATTGGCTGCAGTTAACCCCACCCACATGCCCTGGCAACAACGGCTGCCTGCATAGTGTACCTCTCGTAACTAGTGTTGTAATATACAACGTAAACAAACACATAGAGGGGCAGAGTTCCAACAAGTGACCTCGACCAGACGAAGAAGGATGCTTGAGATCTAGAATGGAAGCCTTTTCCACAAGCGGATCCTCAACATCACACTCTCTCGGGAGGGTCTTGGTAATGTCTTGCTCTCCCTTTCGCCTCGTCCTTCCATCCCTGAATCTAAGTATATCTCTTTGAGCTCATCCTTTTTCCAATCCTCGTCAAGAAGCTCCTTGGAGACCGACTTCTCACGGTTCTCTGAGCAGTTTTTGCTCCGCCGAGTTTGCAATGTCGGCTCTCGCCAATTACGACCTTTACCCCCACCATTTTCTCATCGCTTGACTGCACTCCTGATCGATTCTCTGGTTGTCCTAAAGGTTGTCGGACTGGCCAGGCATCTCAGGCAACATCTTATGTCTAACTGCGATATCACTAGGTCCTTTTATGTGGACTCCTTGCCTTCCTGTTTATTGTTAAGGCAAGTTGCGCAACTGTCCATGATGAGAAACGTGTCCTCCCACTTGAGCCTCTTTCTACCCTCCGGTAGATATGATTTTAGGGTTCGCCCAACCAATTAGCTTCATGAAATCTCTTCCTGGCCCAAGAGATGCGTCTGCTGTGTATCAGGGTATAGGAGACCGGCTCTTCATGAACCACCCACATCAATATCCAGCGTTTTGCTGCCTCGGAGGGATGGCCATTGGCTAGTTCACCATCTTCAGGACCACGCGTCTCCATACATACGCCAGTTAAGAGGGTCATCCGGCCCGGCTACACTTACGGAGCATGCAGATATCTTCTGGGTAGTTTTTCCAATCTATCTTACCTCCAACCTGGTGAGAGAATGCAACGATGAATCTGAGAATTGAGAGGCTTCCCAGCCTCTGGCTGAAGATAGACGCCTTGTTTTGTCGTACACTGTGACTGACGTTCTTGCGCTCGATGGGAAAGCGGCTAGATTGCTCTTCTTTCAGCATAAGATGAGGCTGGAGACAAGAGAGACCGCACGAGATAATATCCACCTTAGGACCAACTTGATCCTTGTTAGCCAACTTCATGTTGTTCTCAATTGTGGCTTCGTTAGTTGTTGGTTCCCTGATGATCTCGTCGGGCACTATATTAGTAATGTAAGTCAACCAAGTATGTTCGAAAATAAGCCCTTGATGATGATAAAACTCCATTTATACCTCCTTACTTGAAAAAAACAGTGAATGCCAGACAGCATACGGCTGGAATACTTCAACGTGGATATACGTTGAAGGAACATGTACTGAGGATCCTCCAGAGCATTTGACGATAGAGCATTCCTTTTCTTCTCGAAGTCAAAAGAGCATTAGAAGGAAACAGTGTGTAGAATATTTTAATCTAGTATAAAGCATGCACAGTTCGTGTGAAATCCCACTCAGAAGCTCCGTTTTGTTCCAGCTATAACCACTCGAGATACGAGGCTGCAAGTACTTTGCTAGTCGTTTTATCTAAATGCAAACACACCAGTCTTGTTATCGAGAGATAAACACAGATATACCTCTCCTGATGTTTGACCAGTGCTTCGCTCAAGCGTAGATACCTTCCAACAATCTTGTAACATTGACTCATGTTGATGTTCACGATATTTTTAATCCGTTTTTATTATGAAACGACATGGGCAGATACATTTGCTTATTCAATATCGGTGGATACATCTACAACTAAAATCAGGCATTATAGGTGGCTACAAGTACCAGCACATACTTTCTGGTATGCTAGTCAACTGATGTTGGCAGATCATGATTCTTTTTTAATAGAATAGTTAACCATGAAGATGAGTTGGCTACAAAACGATTGCACCGACCAGGCTGCGTAATGGACTAGTATCTTCCGAGGCAGATGATAACTTAACAACCTTCCCAATGAATCATGCAGGTAAGATCCATTCACTGTGGCCGTGCAGAGCCAAGAAACTTATTTTTCCCTAAGTGAGGATAGATGTTGCTATATGCTAACCAGTGATCCAGATTTGTTCAAGATTGCGGAAGGATACTGTTTTTCTTAATGCATTCATGTTTAAGATCAAGATGAGCTTGGCCCCCGATGTCACGACCAACGATGACTCCCTCTGGGAGAGTAGCTTCCGTGCAACTCACTGATCGGAGTAGAAGGGAGTTGTGAACCATTAAACTCGGATATCCCGCCCCAAACAACCGAACATTGAAAAAGTGTTCCTCAACACCCAAGGATGTTGACTCTCAACAGTATGTGCTGTTGAGGAAGAAGGAGGGGAAGCCACAAGAGTGCATGAGATGTATATGGATTCCAAGCAGGGCCATCTGGCCCAAGAAAACTTTCTAGTCAGCAATACAAACAGTTGCTTACCAACTGGTGAGCACAACGGCCACTTAGGTTGTGTGAGAACTCCTGTCTCTCAACCCAGCAGCCTGACAATCATCGAACCCATCTCAGGAGGTCTGTCTGGATCGTCACACCCGACCGCTCGCTTATCATATATATTACGGCATACTTACAAACGTTACAGTATGACTGTTACAGAGTGCTAGATTGCGGTAGCAAGGTATTTTAAGCAATTAAACGCAGCTTTATTACCCCATGAAGCTGTTCTCTGAGATCAAATATTATGAAAATTACGTAGCAATCTTTGTGACCTCCCTGAAGGTTACATTTGATACCAAAGTAAACAAACGATAAAAGGGTTGTAGCAGCCACGGAGCAACCACACTGAGCCTTCGGTTAAACCGCAGTTAAATTTCCGTATTCAAGTAGGTTTATTACACAACATCATATGGTAACTTACAGGGAAGTCGGTGACCTGGGTGTATCAATCATTGAAACGTACCCATGCAGAAACTGGAACTGGGACTGGGAGTGCAGGAGCACACTTCACAAAAAAAAAAAGACCTGTGACAAGTATTTTATATTCCCTTCACAGAGTTCTTTAGAAATTGTCTACTTTGAGTGTCTTAATACTTTTAGTAAGCTATGGAGCTATGGAGTGTCTCGGTTCATCTGATTCCACAATCACACTACATGGCCGCTACTCCCTGACATCTCTAACTACATATGCTTGACTTACTTGCGGGTGTGCAGTTCAGGTGTTCGGAAAGGAACTGGTGGCCAAATTGATGAAACACTTGACCAAATTTTAAAAGTGCCTCGAAGCAAAGCGATAAACCACCCTGGTATACCAGACAGTTAGTCAATGAGAAAACAATTAAGTCCAAGTCAAGTGGAGGGCACTGAATCATAAGTTTCTTCATGAGGTTAATTGTTCATTGACCCCCCCCTCTTTGTCGATTTTTTCAGACGAACAATTCATTGTCAGGAAGTCGATCGCCAGCATATGATAATACTGGAAACTATTATGATGGGACGTTGATTACCAGATCAGGACTAATGATCTTGCAGCTGAAATAGAGCTAAAGAAGGTCAATTACAAACGATGTGGTTGAAGAATCGATCGACGTCATAAAGCCATAACGTGACGTTCGCACGCAGCCAATTAAAGTCAGGTGACTGCGCGCGTCGCGTCTGTGTAGTCTTGGCGCGATTTTACGCGTTCGCTCCACAAGCTGAAGCCCTGGCAACGAACAGCCCCTGTCCCCCACACTCAGCTTGCACTCTTTAAGCATTTGCTTGAGCTCTGGCGCCAATCTGCAAAACAATCGCGCGACACAACGTCCATTGACGTCCAGACGCAACCCCTCCATCACCAATTTGCAGCCATTTGAGCCCCGCGCCATGCCAATGTAGCCAATTCCATTCCAGCAGATCCGTGTACCGACGAGAGCAAACAGACCATTGCCCACAATGTCGCAGTCCTTCCCGTGGTTGCAGCCCATGAGCGTTAATGTCGAACCTTTGCGATGTGATCCCCTGCATGGTCCCGAAGACGTCATCTATTCCGGTTCCGACGACGATGCCTATTCCGACCCCGAAGAACGTAGCCGACGCGTCGAGACCCAGGCCCTCCGATACCTCGAAGGGAAGTCAGTCTTCCTGCTATCTACCTCACTCCGCGGCCCGTTTGATAGCAGTTCCGGCTGGGTCAACCCCTGGCGCTCCCGTTCAGCGTCTAGAGTGGATAAGCATAAGCGCACAAGCAAGTGGCTGTCCAGACCAAAGCAGACCGCCGCCTCGTTGCGAACCTCTCAAGACCATAATGTCTCCAGCCATACCTTCGAGTCCGCCAACAGTAATGCTGCAAACCTTGCCTCCTTCAAGACTACCAATATCCAATATGAAGAAGACTACGACAACTTACAAGGCCCATTGCAGTACTTAGACGAGGATGCGCTCTATAGGATTGAGGCTTGGAGACAGAGGGTTGCCAGAGAGTTCAGTGTTAGAACTCCAGGGCATTCTGCACCCCAAACTCCCACCTCAGCCGACTCGAGAAAGGCCATCCAATGGACCGTCAGAACACCAGGAAGCTCGTCTCGTATTGTATGCGACGAAATCCCCCAGAGCAGCTTTGTACTCCCCCCAAGCACGCCAGTACAGGCTTCCAAACAGGAATCGAGATCATTAAGCAAATCGAAAACATTCCATCAGCCGAACGAGCCCGGTCCCTCGAGTCTACTGCCTGCAGCCAGTCAACCTCAAGCTGTCCACAGCACTCCTCAGAGCGCTACTCTTCCGAAGCCGACTGCCGCTATCGACCTCTCTCCACATGCAGTGAAGCTCTACGAGCAGTTTGTTATGGCTGGCAAGTCATCGGCACACTCGCCGGTACGAGCACCTCAAGGCGTGGAACCACCCGGAGAGGATACACCTGTGAAGGAAGAGCCCAGGGAGCCGAGTCTTGAAGATATCCAGGGTGTTGCCTCTCAGGCGTATGCTACACCGGATGTCCTGCCCGATCATCCCGTCTCCGCAATCCGATATCAACTACAGTACAGTACCCAAACTGACGGGAGCTTTCGCTTCCGGAGGAAAAGGTCTGCACCAAGCGGGGATGACAGCAGGCCGACTAGTCCGGGCTCGGAACAGAGGCCGGCGAGTAGGAGGGAGAGTGGTCCGACATTGGAGCAACACCAAGTGTCTGAGGAACAGCCTGAGGTTGCTGGGCCAGAACTGGAGGTGCTCAAGCAGGCTTTACCACCAGGTGATGATCATCCTCGGCTAGAACAGGAAAGTACCAGACCGGAGCCTGAGTCTCAGGTCAAGATAGAGCCACCAGAGGATCAGTCAAGAGAGGTCTCTATGTCGAGTGAGCATATCCCTGACACGGAACCTCAGACTGTCGGAACGGTGCCTGAGCAAATTGGCCCAGAAAATGCACTGGAGGATAATTTTCCATCTCCCGAGCAGCAAGTTGGAGCTCCCGCGGCAGCGGAAGCACTCCTACAAGGCTCTGAGCCCAGGGATCAAACTCCCGAGTCAGAGCCGGAGCAGAAGGAAGGCGATGCTACATCCACTCCCCCTGCTGTCCACGAGCCAATTGCCGGTCCCAACGACGTCACACAACAGACACCATCTGAGGCTACACCTCGGCCCAACTCCGCTCAGAGGAGCGTACAAAGGACCAGCGGCAGCAGCCCTGTGGCCTGTCCGGCTCAACAAGCCGAGACGTATACTCCAGCGGCATCCGTCTCCCAGCTTGATGGCCCTACATTGATCGCCACGGGAGACTCATTCGCGTCCAGCGAACCCAGCAGTTTCGCCTACTTCTCGCAAGAGGGCTTCTCCCAGGATATGCCCTCGAAAGTTCTGCCTTCGCCGAGAAGGCTGCTCTGGCCCAGGTCTCAGAGGGCGAGCAATAGTCCGGGGCCGCTGTTTGGGTTTGCTTCGATCCCGGCAAAGAACCAGACGCAGGCGGTTCAGGCTGGTCCAGAAGAAAACCATGTTGTGCAGGATAAGAATGATGCCATCGAGCCCGTGGTCGCGGATAGGGATGCTCCAACAGAGACCAATGAAGACGGCAATGACGTGACGCCGACGGCCACCGTAGCTCAATATTCGGGAAGCGAGACTGCCAGCGAAGCTGAGGAAGAGAACGTTCATCCTGAGGAGCCCCCACAGCCTGAGGAAGCAAACGATGAGCCTGAGACAAGACGGCCTTCCTCTGTTCCAGAGCCTGCGGCACAGAGCCCGTGGATTAAGGAAGAGGCCATTCCTCCCCCTCCTGCTCCCGAGACTGTTCAGGAAGCTGAACCCGCAGAGCCCAAAGTCGCCCGAACTCCCCAAGCCGTCCAGAGCCCCTGGACGAAGGACGACTCCATCCTCTCAGCCCTCGGTGCCCTTCAAAATCCCCGTCTCTCCCTCATCGCCAACCAGGGTCTGGTCAACACCGCCTCACAAAGTCCCTGGGCCCGTGGCGATTCTCAAATTCCGTCCCTCGTGGCCCGCATGGTCAACCCGCTCTCCTCCCCCGCCAACAGCAGCATCCTTCCCGAAAACACCGAACTCGAGGCCGAGTACTCCCTCTCGCAGAATCCCGAGCAACAGCCGCAATCACTATGCAAGCTTCGAGTGCAAAATACTACCATGCCCGACTCCCAGGGCGGTGAAGCCGACAGCCTCCCTCCACAGCCTTCTACCCCCGAGACAAAGCCCTCGAGCTTGCCAACCCCCCCTGATTTCAGCATCTCGGTCCGTTCCTTCAAGGAGTTCATGACGCCCTCGCCGCGGCCTAAGCGTGCTATGAAGCGCAGACGGACATCTCTTCATTACACGGATAGAAAGAGTGATGAGGACACAAGTGAGCTGCTCCCCAGCACCCAAGCATTGGTCGACGCAGCGACCACGAACCCGTGGCAGTCCTCATCTGCTTTGCGTCCCTCATCAAGCATGCCTTGCACAGCGAAGAGCGAAAACAGGGGGATCAAGCGGCGGAGAAAGAAGAGAGTCTCGTGGGCGGATCTAGAGGGGCAGAATCTCTGTCAAGAGGAGGGGGGTGACAGCCAGGCCGAGACTGAGACAGCGTCTTGTGTCGCGAGGGAGAAACTGTCTAGGAGGGCATCCTCCCCTCCGCCGAGTATCCTCTCTCGTGCCAAGCTCCCTGGGGAGGGTGAAAAATTTGGGAAGCACTTTGCTGCCGTTTCTAGGCGCAGACGTGGCGTTGGTTCTACCGATCAAGTCCCATCATCTCAGCAATCCACCCCCCAACCCGAAGAAAACGCCCTACCTCAAGAAGCCGATCCCTCTGAAGATAAAGACGACGACGAGGACTCCAACAAAGAAAACATCACCCCCGAACCCCTCGATGAACCTAACCCCCTCGAAGTCTCGACCGAGCTCGAAGAATCTTCACAATCCCCCTCCCACCACTCTTCCGAGATAGACTCCGAAAACGAAGAAAACATCGACCCCAACCAACTGAGCCAAGAACTTGACACCCAACTCGACGACGTCAATGCCGTGCTCCAAAACCTAGATGAGTTCCTCGGCACGAGCTGGGATTTGGACGCCGAGCTGAGGAGTATGGCTAGGCAGCAGAGACAGATAGAGCAACAATCTAGAGTTGGATTTGGGTTGGAGATGGGTGATAGTATCTCCACTATTAGCGATACTGCTAAACGTGAGAGTGTGAATTTCGGGTTCAACTCGGGTGTTGGGGATGAAGAGCAGGACGTGCCTGCTTCCTCGGCTGTTTTTGGCTCGGGAGAGTTTGTGAGCGGGTTTGCAGGGGCTTCTCGGAGACGGTCTGGTCGGGGGTCTGGCTTTGGGCTCGGGTTTGATGACATGATGGACGCCGGTGTTTGGGACTGAGTAACTAACCGTTGGATGAATGGGGCTGTGGTGATATGTTTAGATGAGTGCTTCGTCCTTTGTTGCTATTCCTGCCTCTGATGAGGCGCGTGTTACTTCTTGTCCGTATACCCCCAAGTGACTTATTTCCTATGTACTGCATTTCGAGCGGGTGGCTTGGACGGTGGGTTTCAGCATCAACGGATGGGAAACATAGTCGAAGGAAGAATGGGATGGATGGTCTAGTGCCGGACCGTACGAGAGCATGCATGCCCTAGCAAATAAAGTAATATTAGTAGTTCATCGAACACATCATTTCATGGTTACGAGTCGAATGTCCTGCAATCTGGCTCTGTCCTGCTTTCTTAAATGGTCGAGCACCGTGGCCACTGCGGTCATGAGTACCAGGTCAGACACTCGAAAGTTAAGGATCAAGCTTCATTCCTCTCACCAGCTCCTATCATATGCCCATCTGTATCCTCAACGCCTTGCTTGATCCTGTTCTATGTCACAGATCCCTGCACCAATCCATGAACGCCAGTCCTAAGTCTCCTAAACTCCGAACTTCCTTCCGCCCGTGAACCAGTGCCCAAACGATCCCAAAAACTCCACAAACTATCTATCTAACTCACTAGACCACGAACGCCAGTCCCAGGCCGCTGAAACCTCCGCCAATCAACCAGTGTCATTCCTTCCTGCTCGTCATAATTCATGAAAATCATTAACCATCGTAAACTGGGGTAAAAATCTGTCGATCACTCGATATTGCGCTCGAGAAAGCCATTGTCGTTAACCAGAGCGGATGACTCTACATCTTATGCCCTCATGAAGCTGAGGCCTTGAGAAGTTGGTTGAGAGCTCTGGAAGTCTGATGCCGAAGCCTTGTCGGTATCGTGTCGGAAACTCTACCAGCCAAGGGTAACTGGTCCAGGACTCTGAAGCCAGCAAAGAGGTGGAAATTAGACATTAACTGGTGAAGATCGCAGACTTCTGTCGTTCTTCACGCTGATGATGGTTGCGTCCGAGGTAAGTGCAATGAACTCGGAAAATGTAAGAGCCGAGAGTTAACTAGGCACAAGCACATTCTTCACTTTTTTGTCTTTTTTATACTTTAACAATTTTTCTGGCTTTTCAAGTTTTTTTTTTTTTGCGCATTTTTAGGCATGGCCAGGACACAAGCTTTCTGAGCCGAAAATCGTCGAAGTCATCACCATCGGAAGAGAAGAGAATATGAAAAATGGAAGAGGACCAGAAAGTCGTAAGCCATGGACGCAACCCAAAGCATATGAAGAGAGCAGAGTGGGAAGAGACGAATATGAGCGCTTGCTCGGTAATCACATCCGGGTGACCAGGACACCGGACTTAAGAATGGTTCGGGTGGCAATGGACAAACCTGCATCGCTTCTCGCCGTGATGATGGGTGTCACGCCGAGCTTGACGAGCCAGTGATCGCGTTGGAGGATGGTGGGGTGGATGTCGCAGGCAATTGCGTCGTGAGTCTCGGCAGAGAAGCGATCGTGACCCTGGGCCCAGTCAAAGCTGAAGGTAAACCGGGACATCATCATCTTGGAAGACAATTCCCAAGCGGCATTGACGACGGCAAACAGGTCGTAGAGAGCCTCGTTAGTGAGGTCGGACTTCTTGCGGTTAGGGTCGTAAGGAAGTAGGGGCGTGACGATAGTCTTCAGGTGTTGATGATGTTGGTTAAGCTTGTGATTCTTGAACGCCGGGGCGTTGGGGCCGGTTGTCATCTTCTTGATCAGCTCGGCACGGCGGTCAACGCACATTTGGCGCTCAAATGTACGCGCGGCTGCGAAGCGTTAGTCAGAGCCGGAGAGGAAGAAAATAAAGAAACCGCTTACGCTCAATGAACTTGAGATCCCGATGGATTCTCGCCATCTCGGCATCCACGTCATCGGAGTAATCATTCCAACCCTCATAGTGGAAGATGGAGTTGACAATATGTTGAAGGATAAGACGCTCCATGAGATAAGGGCGGGCAACCCTGTCGTGAAGAAGACGAAGAGCTCGTTCGCCATTGGACTGGCTCGAACCAGGAAGAGTATGACAGACCTTGCAAACGTAGTCCCAGAGGGCGCCTTTGGCTTCCTTTTGTAGGCGGTTCCTTAGATCGTCGTTGAGGCAGGGCAGTTCTCGGAAGTAAGTGTTGCAGAAGCCGTTAATGAGGGAAAAGAGGGTCTGGAATTCACCAGCCCACATGTGAACATCCTTATCGGAGATGAGAGCATTCGGCGGCGGAACCGGCGAAAGAGTGGGGCCCGGGGCCGCAGGGAAAGCCGGAGGGTTGGAACACTCGGGGCTGTCGAAGTTCTGGAAGCTACCCTTCGGAGCCACGGAATATTGGCTGGACGGCATGTTGCCGAGGTACGTGCCCGCGAAGCGAGGAGGTTGTGAAGGTCCAGTTGGCGTCAGCGCCATTGATGCCTGGCGGTGGTGAGGGGGGTGACCGAAACCCATTAGGTTGGTGCGAGCGCGCATGGTTTGGGCGCCCGATAAGTGAGTTGGCGGGTGATGAGGGCCCTGACGCATCGCGGGAGGGATGTGGCCCATTGCGCTGACCGGACGCGGCGGGCCCATAAGGGTAGGACCTCCCTGTCGGGGCTGGTAGGGCTTAGTCTCTGCTGGCCGAGGGAAATTGGGATAGGTTGGGCTGATCAGCGCCGATGACCGGGCGAGGTTCTGGAGAGCGGCAGCACGCTCCTGGGGGTCGCGGTGGACGTCCATCCACAGACTGCGCTTGCCGTCCACTTGGTCTTGAAGCATCTGTGTAACGTTAGACTTGACCGTTGTGTCTCAGCAGAGCATATGAGAGAAAATACTTGCCATTCGGGTAACTTCATTTTGACGCAGCTTTTCTTGAAGCTCCTGGATATCGGAGTTAGACAGGTCACGTCAGTGGTTCAACTTTAAGCAGTTTTGACATACAGCTATGAGCTTCTTGTCCTCCTCAGCCTTGGAGACGAGGCGTTGCAGGTTCTCCTCGCGACGCTGTCGACTCTCAACGTCGCGCTCCAGGGCATTTACACGGTCGGTGAGGCGCTTGACATCATCCTGCGCCTTCTTGAGCTCGGTGGCCAGGTCATCGCCGAGCTTGTTGATTGTGACTGTGGTGCCAATCAACAGCTTGAGGTCGAACTCGAAGGACGCAATTAGGTCCGCCGGAACGACCGAGGACTGGGCTTGCATGCCCTGGCGCAGACCCCAAATCCGCGACTGGAGCTTGCAGGCCTGGTCGCGGAGTGCCTGAAAAACAGTCAGCATGCTCATGGTTGATGATCCTCACTGACAGTAGCGCAACGATCAGGAACACGTTGAAAAGGGGGCAAAATAAGCAGATCTTCAAGAAATATTGGAGAGTAAAATAAGAAGACTAGAGAGAACAGCGGGAAAGAGAAAGTTCTGGTGTGAATAGATGGGAAATGATGAAGAGGTGACAGTGATTGGGGCAAAATCAGTTGTAGACCGTGAAGCTTCTCGGTATCTCTCATTTCTTCCCCAAGTGCCCAATACCGGACCAGAAGACAGAAGTTTAGGTGAAAGAAAGACAATAGAAAGGAGACTAGACGATCATGAAGGTAAGAGCTCATGGCGAAGCCGATGACCAGGGGAAGGATAGGCGAAAAAAAAAACGGAGGGGAGGTAAAAACCGAGATAGACGAACCGGCATCGCTGCCACGGCGGGCGACCACAACAGACACTAGCAGTCGGCGAAGTCGTCATTGAGGTCGTTGCTGAAGCAGATCGCAGTGGGGAAGGGGAAGAGAGTCGTTGATTAAGAAGCAGATTGCATGGGGGGAGGGAGGGAAAGATAGCACGTACCTGGTGGGCCGGATGAAGCTTCTCATCCGGCCGCAGGCTCAAGGCCTGCATGGCCTCGATGAAGGCCTCCGTAGTAGAGGCCGGGATCGAGGCCCCACGATCGTTTCCCACAATGGGAGTCGCCGGGAGCAAACCTTGAGCCTGCCGCGAGGGCCCGTTCCCACTCGCGGGAGCGCCCATGGGAGCCGAGGGCGCGGCGGCCTTGGAAGGGCCAGCGCCCGAAGACGCCGGCTTGCCCGCAGACGTGGGCAAATCGAGGGATGAGCTTCCCTCGGAGCTGCTGTCGGAGCTGCTAGAAGCAGCCCGCGACAGCAGGGCGTGAAAACGCCCCGTGTTGGCTGGTCGCCCAGCCATCCTGCCCGTCGTTGCCGACGGCCAGGAAACGGAAACGAAAACGAAGAAAAGAAAAAGAAAACACCAAACGAATCCTCCGGGGCTGCCAAGAGGGGAAATGAGAAGGGTGCGGGAGCTGGCGAAGACTAGTCGTGTTGGCGTTGTAGGAAGAAAGAAGTTTTCGGGAGGAAGTTGGAAAAGATGAGGGGAAATTTATAGGTGTGTCTGGGGGAGGGGGGCGAGGGGGCGTGCACTTATCGAGGCACACCACTTGGGCACAACACGTCCAAATCGTGTACCCTTCTAAGCGCGATCCTATTCTTCTGGCTTCTTCGTTTTTCCTATTGTGCCCTCATGCCTTCCTTCTCAAGCTGAACGCAGCCCCTGATCTCTTAATGCCAGGATGGTGAGATGGAAAGTTCACGAGTCAAAGAATTGCGTTTTCGTCTTGCTGTGTTTCGTCCGGCAGGCACTCTTCGTTTGCTTGCAGCGAGTTCACAACGACTTCATCGCAAGACAACATTGATATTGTGTAGATCGCAACCAGCCTGATCTTTCAGCATTATTCAGGAAAGTCGTCCGAACACGGCTATCGCCCTCGGTCCGTATGTCCTATGCTGACTGATCTTAGTACTAAACTAGTCTCACCCTGAAGATGTCCAGACGATCTTGAAAGGAAGTGCTGATAGATGTTCGGTTCGGGAAGAGAACTTGGTGATTCTGGACGTGCTGCCAGCCTGACAATGCTCCCCAAGAGAGTTCCCGTGAGATAGGTTCATAGGACCTAGAAGTCAAAGCAAACTTTGGGAAAGGCCTAGTCGAGTCCAAGCAACTGGATGATGAGGTTGTGATCAAATAGCTGTGCTCTATGAACGACCGTTTTCCCGACAAGCGTGAGGTCTAAGGCCGAGCTTTTCATTAATAACGATGAGAACGCCATTAAATAAGCTTGACTTCCACCAGCTGCCGGAGGTCAAATGTTTCAGGTCGACCCAGGGCTGAAACTATAAGACTCGCTGATGACGCCGCAGTGCTCTCTTTATGGCAGGTTCTATCTGACGTAGATCACTGGGTGCAGAATCCTGAACAAACGAAGACATCGGCTTTCCAGTTCGTATCTGTCGTTTGCTGGCATAGTTCCCGTTGGAAGTTCTTTCAAGTTCTAGCAAAAGCCCGGTGAGGATCTGCTTTGTCATGCGTCTAGAGACATTGCTAACATCTTGGTGCAACCAACAACAGGAACGCGACAGCAATTCTTTCCGAACACGTGACAAACGCGGACATGCTGAGAGATGACGTTAAATCGAGCAAATGACATTGATCCTGTACCTGCCGGCAAAGCTTGAGACCCGTTTTTGACGATCCAGAGACAACTCCCTATGATGGTGGAACTTGGTAAATGCAATTCAGGAGTCGAATCCGGACCGCGGGTACAGGTGCACCCTCGCAATTTCATGTCTGAAACCCGCGTGTTTACTCTTGAGTCTATTACCGGACTGGGCTGACAGTGATCACCATGGACGACTAAGTGAAGTTTGCCGACCTCAAGCCATGTGATCGAAAACTTCAAATGAATAACAAAGTACAAGGCGTTGGCGATACACAAAGGGAGATAATGGACAATGAGAGTGAGAATATCAAGAATTGAGATCGGGACTTACCCCTGAGTTCAATGCTCTTTTCGAGAAAGCTTGAGCGTGGAAGTACACAGGGAGGGCGACTCAGTCAATGAGATCGTGATGATCCAGGGATGGCGAGGAAACTCGCTGAGAACACAAGCTAGAGGACTGATCTCGATGAGTGGTGAATTCATGGAACAAAACAAGCGGAAGAGTAAAGCGGAAAAGGAACTCGGGGAGGAGTGAGGGTACTTATATCGAGGAAGCTCAATGTGGTCTGTGTTCTCCCGGAACATGCCCGCATGCCCCTGAATCGGACCAACTTTCTGTATGAAAGAGCGATAATTGGATGAGCTCACAATGTGAGACTTCAGAAGACAAAGTAACTCGGAGGGATGCGGGTACACAAGAGAGGTTCAAAGGTAGCCTATGAGTATCTCGAACATGTCTCGATGCCCCTGAATCGGATGAACAACCCTTATGAAAGGAGGACATTGGATACGGTTATGATGGAAGACTTGAGAAGACAAAGCGACTTGGGAGAACGAGGCTATACAAAAGCTTTGAGTATTTTCCCAGAGTACGTCTGTAAACCCTAATCGGACTGATCAGCCTGTTCAAGCGATTGACATCAGATCAAGCCGTGATCCAAATCTCATGTGAGGTTCAAGAAGACAAAACAACTCGGGAGAACGTAGCTATGTGGAAAAAGCTCGGGAACCTAGGCTCCCCGCATCAACTGGCTAGCATCAATATTGGAAAGCGGGGGTGATTAGATCGAAACCTATGTATGGTGTCCTTTGAGCTCATCCACATGCTTATCAATTCGGATCAATTCAGTGATGAGCAACAAGAATACAGGACGAGGGCACGACTGGCGACCTGTAGAGCCCAAGCGGGCTCAGGAAATACTTGAGCTTTAGGAAGTCTGTACTGTCGGTCACAAAGCATGAAAGATGAAATCGATGTGGCTCCCCTGTTGCCTTCGTTCAAATGATTTCTTCTTCATATGTGGATGATGCTTGTCTGATGGGAAACAAACAATGAAAACAAGGAAGCTTTACTAGGCATTTGCTTTGAGTTACCACTTGGTGATCTTACAATGGAACTGGCCAGATAAAGAGATGTTAGATGCTGTGAGAGTTTCACAAAACCACCGCATTTAACTGTTGGTGCACTTCTCTACCATAACCACACTTGCATCTGCGATGATGGAATTGTGAGCATGTGCATGGATCTGAGCCTCAGTCTCACGAACTCCACACTTGAGGTGGTAAACACACTTCCAGAAGAGGAAACTTATAAACAAAAACCTGGTACTGAGTCCAAAACCCTCCATGTGAAAACATTCAGCCAAACTAGCAGAGGTGTGAGGAATGCATCTGAACAGAAAAGATGCCGAGGAACAGAATTTGTTGGATATATCTTTTTTAAAAAAAATCCGTGGCAGCCCCAAGCAATTGGGGCACCCCAAGCAAGGGGGAAACGGATACCTAATTTCTAAGGCGCTAACCCGCAGTATGCCGCGATATGGTAACTACACACAAGCGGCTGTTCTCATCCGCATTTCTTCAACAGTGAAATGACGGGCAAGGATTATGGAACTGCTGATAGGATACTACTTGTTGAGACTGGACTTTTTGTAGCTCGTGTTATGAATGTGTCATCGCCACTTGGACATCGGCATTCGGCATCTTTTGCGAATGTCGATAAGCGTTTGAAAAAAAAAAAAAAGCCAAAGGAGAGCAATATGAAAGTTTGAAGTCACAACCAAACTTAGGATGTCAACTGATCAGACAACCATGTCAGTAGATCTTTAGTAGAGGGAAGTGAGTGCTGACATACCAATTAGTAAATCACAGTCCTATTATATGATTTGATTGATTGGTCTTATGAAGCTCTGGCGCGGCTGAAGAAAGACGGACATGAGTAAATGTTGCAAATGTGCCCTAGGCAAATGTGCCTTGCCTCTCCTCGCACACCGCGTCAGCCAGTCTATCTATGCTCTCTTGCACGTTGGATAATTCTCTTGGGAAATAACAACTGCTGGGCAAGCGTAATTATGGATGAATGCATATCAAGCCGGAACGCGTCGCCTCGCCACCTCATTTAGAAACTTATACTTCCCTTTGGGAAAAAAAATTGGTTTTTGTGTGAAGTATCTTGTAGAAATGTGGGAGTCGTGTTGTTATTAGTGCGTGAGGGAACGATTAAGCAAGTCAGGTACGAAGCTCCAGCCTGCTCTTTGGCAAACCGTGAAAACAACAGAAGAACGATAATTACAGACACCTACAGGAGTGAAAAGGAAAGAGCTTCTCTGGGTCAAACAAGTCAATCTTTACATCCGAGCTAGGCATCTCAAGACATGGTACACGTCATCTCCATCTAAGATTTGGGGATTGGGATCAATGGCCCTCGCATTGTGGCGGTTGATATCAAAGGGTTTTGTGATCATGAAAAGGTGCATGACAGAGCGTCTACAGAATCCTATCAGCTCATGTAGCTTGGGTGGCGAATCAGACTGTACGCTTCCAAGACCATAAAACACTCTTGCTCAACGAGCACTAGGAAAAGTAAGGGACACAGCGATACAGTTATAGCACCGATGACAAAGCGAGCGAGACGTGTGTACTTAGAGTGATATTGTCATCTTACGTTCTCTACCCTACAGTTTGTTTGTCCGCTTGTTGATAGTAGCTATCTACGTGCTGACAGTCGCGGTATGATCTTCCTAGAAAAGAAACGCAAAATAGACTACAACCACATCAGCAACGCTGCCGTCAAACAGTTGATCATAGACGACCGAGAAGTTCGAGGTTTGACTGTCTCAGTGGCCTGATCGATCGCTAAGCCCAACCCCGGGTGGGTGACTGGTTGGACCGACTTGACTTGAAGTAATCAGGTCTTCTGGTCGAGAAGTGATCTGTTTCCAGTGGTCGTCAGATGAGAGCTATAGAATGACCAATACAACTTTGGTTGAACCGATGCAGCCAATGCAGACAGGCGCAACTGTGACCCAGTTAAGTTGCTCGACGAAGCAGAGGCAGATCTGAGTGGCAGTTAAGATGAGAGTGGGTGGTGACAAAAAACCGGCTCATTGACGGCAGATGTAAACAGACCCTAAAACGAGTTTGACTCAGATCTGGAACCTTTACGCGCGGAGAGGATGATCATCCCCAAAGAAAAAAAATGACTTGGCGAACGGGTCGAAGAGGAGGCCGAAGAGCGATTGATGGGCGAGACGACCGGACGGACGGACGGACGAACGGAGAAAGGGTCGAATCCTAGAAAAGAAATTCCGGACCACGACCAAGAGTCACCATCTGACGAAGTCGTAAGTACTTGAGAGAGGAAGGGGGGGGGTAAGTTAAGTAGGTAGGTAAGTAGGTAAGTAGGTAAGTAAGTAAGTAGGTAGGTAGGTAGGTAGGTAGGTAGGCAGGTAGGTAGGTAGGAAGACACTAGGATAACACCCGTCAGGCAAACGCAGGCCTTGCACTTTGCCGGAGTCGGAATCAACATTTCTAGATTTAAACAATCCAGTCAGAATTTATCCCGTTTCTCAATGGTGACGAACTTCGCGCTGCCAGGAGTAGTTTAACGACCCAGCAACAAACTTAACTAGGTAGGAGAGAGTAAGATAGGTAAGAGAGCTAAACTACTAACCGTCTCGTCGAGAACCCTAAAAAGCGCGAAAGCAAAGCACATCAACCAATGTCTCATCATGCCGACGACGAACGAACTGAAAATAAAAATGTAAAGTGTGAGATTAGTAGTCGTGTTGTTGCCCTCTCTTACAAAGTTAGAGAGCCTTGGCGCGAGAGAACAAACTGCTGTAGACGGCGTCGACGACGGGCGCGGCCGTAATCATGCGGCCGTCGAAATAGCGGCCGTTGAGGCCTTTGATGGCGTTCTCGCCGCCCTGCACCTTGTCAAACTTGAGGTAGATGTCGCCGTTGGAGTTAGGGTCGACGGCAATGTGCACGACGTGGCCATACTTCTCCTCGGCCTCCTGGCGCACCTCGTCCTCGAGCTCCTTGATCCAGTCTTCGCCTTGTTGCCTGTCTTGTTGTTAGCTGACGTGACTCATATATGTAAAAGGGAAGAGGACATACTCGGCAGGATCGAACATATTATGCAGTACGACACACCGACTGGCCATGTTAACATTAACAGGAAGCGGCTTAGTCTCCACGGTCTTGGGCTTGAGAATCTGTCGCTCGGGCGCTGGCTCGTCAGTCCTGGCCAGCTTGCGCATGAGGGCGTCACGGCTGTAATTGTTAAAGTTGACGCCGGCGACGTCTGTGTCGTCGAGCGCGCTGGCGCCCGACACCTTGTCGCTGTCGCGGCCGCCGGCGCGGTCAAAGGTTGAGGCCGGTGGGCCACGGCCGCCGGCGCCGGAGAAAGCGGAACCCTGGCCTGGGAAGCCCCGTAAGAGATTGGCAGTTGACTCGGGGGTAAACTTATCATTGCCAAGTCCCACGCGAATCGGCCGACCGGCGAGGTCGAATCCGTTCATCTTCTCGAGAGCCTCACGGGCGTTCGCAGCATCGCGAAACCTGAAAGAGATGATGTCAGCGCCCCATGCCATGGTTACCCAGGGGGAAAAGGGAAGGAGGAAGGGGAAGTAAAACATACTGGACAAAACCGTAGCCGCGGCTGCGGCCGTTCTCATCCTTCTGCAGTTGGACAAACTCAAGCTCACCAAAAGGCTCAAACACATGCTGGAGATCTGTCTCGGTGATGCTGAAGTGGATGTTGCCCACGTAGAGACGATGGAAGGGAACGGAGTTTGGATGGTGACCGGACGTGGTGCGGGCCTGGCGGTTCTTCTCGGCCTCGGTGGGTTGCACGATGATGGGAATACCTAGGAGTTTCTGACCAGTGAGCTGAAGGGCGGCAGCAACGGACTCTTCACTCTTGAACTCGACATAGCCGACGCTGAGAGAAGTTAGCTTGGTTCTTCAAATCCAAAAGAGAGACAAGGTCCACTCACCCTTTAGAACGGTTGCTGACACGATCCTTGACGATCTGGGCCTCAGCAACAGGACCAGCCTTCTCAAAAAACTCCTTCAGCTCGCGAGTACGGAGGCGAGCGGCCAGCTGCTGGACAAACACGGTGCGACGATCGCGCTCGTCGTTGGTGGGCGAAGGCTCGCGCGGGGTGCTGCGCCGGCGGGCGCGGTCGCGGCGGTCACGGTCACGTTCGCGGTCACGTTCGCGGTCACGTTCGCGGTCGCGGTCCCGATCACGGTCATGGTCACGATCGTCGTCGCGGCGCCGGTAGCGGTCACCGCGGTCCCTAGCATCGCGGTCGCGGTCACGGTCCGGGCGGTAATAGCGGGTGGGCGAGCGAGAGCGGGAGCGGCCAGCTCCTCGGGTGCTGCCACGATAGTAGTCTCCGTCTCTATGACGACGTGAGTGTCGGCCAGATTCACGGCTCCGGCTCCTGCGCCTACTCTTGTGACTTCCGGCTTCGCTCCTGGGTGTGTCCCGTCCGCTAGACGAGCCGCGGTAGCGGGCGGGGCTGCGGTCACGGCGGCGACGGTCGCGGTCACGGTCTCTGGTATCGCGGGATGGGCTGCGGCTGCGGTCACGATCGCGGTCCCGGTCGCGCGAGCGGGAGTAGGAACGGTCGCGGCTCCGGCCTCTGGTGTCGTCGCGGCTACGGTCGTCCCGACCACGTTCGCGGTCGGTATGCTCGCTGCGGCTTCCGTTCTGCGGCGAGTCGCCATTAGCGGTGGCCTTGCTGTTCTGCTCCTTGGAGGAGGCAGTCGAATCGAGGAGGGCCTCCACGTCTAAGCCTGACATTTTGCTCTTCCCTCTATCTTCTCTTCTTGTTTTTTTTTTCTTTTCCTAGATAATATTTTTTTTTCCCCCTTCTTTTCTGGAGAAAATTGCGCTACTGCGCGAGGGCGTATGCTGACCTCCCGATGCGCTGAGAGCAAGCCGCGATGAGTAGCAATGGGAGGAGGTGATGAGTCGGTGGAGTTGACAATGACCTTGGGGTGGGGAGATGGTCGAAAGGCAGAGACTTGTAGGAAAGTGGATGGGAATCGAAGCAGTGGATGCCCAAGGGAAGGGAATTCCGCAGCCTTCAAGTCACGTGAAGTTCTTCAGCCTCGTCGGTGGCGGGGATGATGGTACAGTACATGCGTGATCCGTGCACGGTTATCCATACGGTGTTAGGGCGATCATGATTCTGATCTGATGGTCGAGTTTAAGCAATTTAAAGGGTTAGCTTTACCGTGCATCACGGATTGTGAACAGATGAAATTCTTCCGCAACTCAGTGATGGCAAAGAACAAGCAAGGACCCTGCGTGGGCACATGTAAAAAGAGGGTGTTACAATGCGTTGGTTCCCAGCATCCGGACTGTAGGAAGGGTTGCTTACATCAATGTATTATTAGGGTATTCTACGTACTGTATTTTAAGGCATTACGTATCATCAACATTCATCATGAAGAGGAATCCGATGCCTGCCTGCCCAGTTCACTAACCTCTTCATAATCAGTCCATCGTCAGCTGGGAATCACTGAATACAAGACCATCCGACATGCCAGCCAAGCTCATTAGGTAGAGATTAGAACCACATGCTGTCCTTAAAAACGTCACGCTCCCCTGCCCGTCATCAGCTGTCCCCACAAGCATGTTTATTGCAGCTTGAGATTAGGCTTTGCAGAGTTCAGTTCAGTGCCAAAGACCCAGTCCCAGAAGGGACTGGTGACGCCGAAGCCGTTCTCGTAGTCGAGGAAGTGGTGCTCGAGGTGCAGCTTCTTGAGCTTCTTCCACCACAGAGGGAGGTTCTGGTGGTGCAGGAAGTAGTGGGTAAGGTCATAGCAGATGTAGCCAAAGATGCCACCGCAATAGACAGACGTAGCAACGGACCAGTTCCAAAAGAAGACGGTGTGAGCCAGCTTCCAGAATGGGGCAGCCAGAATCGCGAAGAGCGCGGGTGGCATGACCAGGCGGTACCTGTCCATGGGCAGGTAGTGGTGGATTCCGTGGAGGGTGAAGTGCAGCGTGATGCCGACGCGGTTGTCAGGAAGGTAACTAGTTTAGAACGTTAGCAAAATTCTAAGCAGAAAGCCTACAAGGGTACCTACTAGTCAATGTGGAAGAGGAACCGATGCATCATGTACTCGACCAGAGTCCAGATGAACAGGCCGCCCACGAAGCAGATAACCTGGTTGGTTGGGTTCTGGAACCCAGGATAGGCCAGATACAGGCCGTAGCTGACGGGGGGCAGCCAGACGACCGGGATCATCCACCACGGTGTCTTGGTCAGCGGCTCGAGGAAGTTGCCAAAGAGTGGCGCAGAGGCACCGCCCTTGTAGTGACGCGGACGGTGCACTTGGTCGAGGTAGAACTCCTTCGAGAAGCCGCCAAACCAGACCTGAGGGAAGAGCGGACGGCTCAAGTCGAGGAACTTGTGGGTCTTGTAGTCGGCGACGATGTCAGTGTCCTTCGTCAGGTCTTCCTCGCAGGACATGCCGGTGCGCGGGTGCACAGGGCGGCCGTTTGCGCTGCCATTAGCAGAGCCATTGGCAGAAATCTTGTCGTTGGCATCGACGAGGGTGCCAACAAGGGCCTCGTCGAGCACCTCGTAGGCGGCATCGGAATGGGCGTGCGAGGACGGGTCCTTGAGTATCTCGGTGATGTCCTTGCCGGCCCAGTCGAGGATGAGATCGGCGCCGCCGGGATGGGCATCGAGGAAGTCGGTCACGTCGTATACATTGGAGCCCAGGGTGACGTAGCACGACTTCTTGGAGTTGTGCTTCTGGACTTCGGCGAGAGTGAAGGTGCGCGACATGGCGGCCGCTGGGCAGTGTCTTGTAGATGATGTGCTCTGGGGATTATATATGGTGTCCTGACGCGTGGACTCGGCTCTCTCGGATGACGGCAGCGAGGCGCAAGTGCAGCGCAAAAAGGGGACACACAAACGACGGACAGGAGTAGAAGAGAAGGAAGATGAGGTTGAAAAAATAAAAAAAAAAAAGGGAAGGGAGAAGTGTTGGGAAGGGGGTGGTGTAAAAAGAGACTGCAAGACACCGTGCAAGTGCAAAGCTTTGACCGCTGCAACGGACTGTGGCAGTCTCCGTCCCGCGGGTTGAGTGAGTGGACAAGGTTTTGGTTCCAGAAACCCAAGATTCAGGGGTCGCACGAATCAGAGACGCGCAGCAGCGAGGATGCGTGGACTCGCCGCGCAGACGGGCATTTGCGGTCGCCGCGGCCACTGGGGGACTTCTGGTGGCATCGGATGACAGCGGATTGCAGTGGCGTTACCTCCGGCACTGTGAGAATGCCAAGAGTGCTGGAGCGACTGACCGGAACTGTCGGTTCGGGTTCTTCAAATCCGATGAACAATACAACCTCACCTACACGTAGAGTCGTCTCTTACACGCTAGGTCCCCGGACTTCATGATGGTCGTCGGAGAAGAGATCAAGGCTCTACGGATACAGTGTGAAGAGTGCTACCGCCGGATGCCGCATGGGTGCCAATAGCATTAGGCAAACGGAGTTTCGTTTTGGCGATCGACTCCATCCCCTGCCTTGTTGAATACGCGATCATGCATCGATCCTGCTGATATGAATTTATGCGGGAATATGCATTTGAGGGTGGCCATATCTTGGCGCCAAGAACCCGCCAGGACCGGACCCACATCAGCTGCGATGGCGGGGTTCTGCCCCTCATCACAAGCTCGTCGGCGAATATTGAAGATCAGGGCTCGATGATCCAAGACAAGGCTTTTTTAAATCAATTCTAATTGTAAATTGACCTAGACTTGGGACTCTAGGAACTTGCAGTTGCGACTGCATCTTTAGCATATTTTTTTTTTTTGCGCATCTGAGGTGTTAGCCGAGTCGTAGCCGAGCATTCGCCTGGCGTCCATCGTACAAAGCGGGAACTGCCAAACTGCCTAGAACCAGGAAATCGGCGGCTGGCTCATTCTTGCTCCCAGCTCCAGTAGCGACTCTCTCTCGCAGCACTGGGCTTCAGGCTGGGTCCAAAACCTGGAAGCAGCCCCGGACGGGAGGCCTGACTGTGTTTTCTAGCCAGCCACTTGCAGACCAGACTCCTATTTCACTTGCATTTGAGACTTCCTTCGTCTTACTTAGCTCTTGTCACCAACATTGTCGCCGACTTCCTGAGCTCAAGAAGCGACGATTCAGTGCGTTCTCAGTCGCTCAACCCTCGCTCAGAGCTTAGATTATCACCATAACCATCACAGGCACTTCACTAAGCATCTGACAACCTTTCACGCAACCATGGCCGGCCTCAGATTAGGCTGGGGCACCATGCTGCTGGCCTTCGCCATCCTGCTCGTCGTACTCCCCGACAAGGCGGCCGCGTTCGGCGCCGGCAACATCCCCTCAATTGCGCAGGTCGAAGGCCACAACTGGCGCCATGGCGACATCGAGGACACGATCAAAACGCTGGCTTTTCTATACGGCAAGAAGTGGTCCAGCATGATGATCGCGCGTGTTTATTTCGGCAACTGGCTGCGCGACTACTCCCAAGCCGTCGATGTCGGCAGCTTGACCAAGGTCAACGCGGCAACCATCCGCGTGCTGGTTTGGGTCTTGTCGTTCCTTGCTAACGGTTATGCGACCGGCGAATTCGAGGTCACTGAGGAGCGACTAGGCGTGTATCGTCCCGAGGAGCACATCGATAACCCGCTGGGCTATGCCGATGGCCAGGACGCGCGCAAGTATGACCCGCGCCTGCGCGCCCCCGTTGATAAGCGCGAGTTGGAGATCGATCCTCGTACCGGCATGAAGAACTACATCGCCAACGAGTCTGGAGGATGGGCGACCAGTGCTGGCTACCTTCGCTGGAGCTTCGCCCGCAGCATCCACTTCGGACGTGTCTACACTAGCGGCGCCCATGGTACTTCGGGCAGGGAGAGCGACCTCTGCGAGGCTCTGCGCTGCTTGGGCCAGGCTCTGCACTGCCTGGAGGACTTCCCTGCCCACAGCAACTACTGCGAGCTGGCCTTGATCGAGCTGGGCTACCGTGACGTCTTCCCTCACGTCGGCAGAGATACCAAGATCAACCTGCGTGGCAAAATGGTTTACCCCCTGGTTACTGGTACCTTTGGCGCTGTGGACTTCTTGCACTCTGTCCTTGGGTAAGTCTTCCCTCTAAGCGACGACGATGATCAGCGCTGACCCTCGCAGCGAGGCCAACGACCACTTCACACAATCCGAGATCGATGAGATGGACACCGCCCTTCGCAACGCCGAACATTCGGGCGACGGCAGCTACTCGAGCCAGCGCGGCTTCTTTGGCTCGAGCTCGAACAGTGGCAACGACTTCATCTCTCTCCTTTCCCAGATGCCCACCGTCGGCAACGACTTCGCTGCCCAGGCCAGGAACCTGAGGGCAGCGGCCAGCGCTCAGGAGCAAGAAAACGCCCGTGTCAGCGGCAGCCCCGACGTCAACCCTACCTTTGACGCGGTCAAGATCGCCGCGCAGATCTACCCGATCCTCGAGTTCCGCGACAAGATCGTGCGCGCCATCAGCAACACCATCTCTAAAATCCCCGGCCTGGAGAACCTTCTCGAAAGCATCAGCGAGCGCCTGACCATCTTTATCCTCTCCCTCCTGGCCCCTTTCGTCCGCCCGCTCATCAACCAGGCCTCTAAGCTCCTGAAGGAAGGCTCCTCGGGTTTGATCGAGACTTCAGCCTCCTCGCAGTTCGAGCCTTGGAACAACCCTCGCTGTGACAACCCCACGCACAGCATGCTCTCCAAGGACCACTTCACCAACATCCTCAACTCGTGCGCGGGCCGCGTGGCCGCAACCATCGTGGCCTACGTCGTCCCACGCGTCGTCTACGCCTGGGAGAACCCCGGCGTCCCCGTCGACGAAGTTGTCAACGACGTCCTTCGTGCCCTGCACCATCCCGCCGCGCGCGACGAGCGTGTTGAGATCCAGCGCGAGATGTTCGAGACCGTTCGCAAGTGGACCCAAGAAACCCCCTATCGCCACCAACTCAACCACTTGCTCTCGGCCGAATCAGTCCGCAACCACAAGAACCACGTCCTCTCCAGCGAGATGCAGCAGCTGCAACTCAGCGCGAGCACCAGTTCCCGCGGCGTTCCCGGCCACGGCGGCTGCGGTCACGGCCTCGAAGGCCATGGCAAGCCCGCCAACTCCCTCTGGAACCAGCTCAAAAAGCAGGGCCAACTCTCCCTGCAGACGGAGAATACCCGTCCCTCCTCTACAGGTACGCACGGTTCCGCCCACTCCCCTGTCTCCATGACCGGCCACGCAGCGAGTTACTATTCCTCGGCGACGACCTCCTCGCCTTCGCCGGCATACTCTAGCGGGGCGGGGTATGGATCTCCGCATCACGTTCAGAGCCCTACGGGGTATGGACATGGACATGGACAGGCGGCCGGATATTACCATCCGCAGACTTCGCCGCCGGCGGGGTATTATGGGCAACAGCAGCCGGCACCGTATGGAGGGCATCATGGGTATGGGCAAGCGCCGGCTTCGCCGCATGGGTACTACCCGCCTGGGCCGGGGCATCATGGGGGGTATCCGGGTTCGCCGCACCATCAGGGGCCGCCTGGAGGAGGGTGGGGGTATCCTAGGTATTAAGGGGGGATACGACAGGGTGGGGGGGGGGTATATGATGGTGGGATTAAGGTTGACTGATGCGGAAGAGACAGCTTCCTTCTAAGAGGAAGGGTTTGCTTGCAGATGATGGCATGTGTTAGTCATGTTTGTGTCTTTGCTGTCATTGGTAGTCGGCTTATTCGCAATCGTATAGGTTGTGTTGGCTATCGGTGGGAGGTCGATGACAGCGTGTATGTGAGATACCAGTCTTGTTTTATGTGCTTTGGAACGTTAATAAACGCGATTCCCCAGACTCAAATCTCAAGGACTGGACTGTGAAGTGACCAGAGCCAAGCTGTCTTGGGAATAGCTTGCTCAGGTAAAAAAAAAAAAAAAAAAAAAAAAAAAGTAAATTAAGAGGACTTAGAAAAATTTCCTGTTCAAGTAACTGAAGAATAATTCACAGTTGATCATGGGAAAGATCTTGGTGTGTTATATATAACTTCTATTAAAGATTCCATCCACTATATCTGTTTGATAATGCAGAATTGATGACTCTCTTCTCTCCCGAATGCCATAGCCATCAACAACATGTCGTATGCCAAAAAAAAAAAAACGGTAAAACCATCTTTTCCCCCCCCCCACCATCCTCTTGAACTCCGTTCAAATATAGATGCACACACCCATTCTACCTCTATATACATAAACCCAATATCATCAAACCAGACCGTTACCCTGAAAACTCGAGCCCAAATAAACATCAATCAACTCAATACCATAATAAACCTTTGCAATTCTTCGCCTTGAGGACAGGGAAAAAAAGAAGAAAGAAAGAAAGGCCCTTACCGCCCCCTCCGTCTCGGATCCTCCGCCTCAACCCTCCTCATCTCCCTCACCTCCTTCGTCCCCATACTCCCTAGCCCGCCCTCACACCTCCTCTCCCATCCCCCCAACCTGACCACAAGACACGTCGCATTATCCCCATCTGAACTAACCTCCGTCGCATACTCGACTACACTCCTAGCCCCTTCTTCCGGCGTCCCCGCCTCCTTAACAATATCCACTATCTCCTGGTCGCTCAGTGTCCCGCTCACGCCGTCGGAGCAGAGGACCATGAAGCTGTACTGAGCGGGGTGCAGGTCCACGCGGACTATGTCCGGTTCGGCGCTAACACCGATGCGTTTGCTGCCCATGTCGCCGAAGGAGCGGGAGTTGGCGAGGCCGTGGAGGCGTTCCTCGCCGAAGGAGTCCGTTACGAGACTGTCCGAGAGGTAGCGGCGTAGACGGCGAGATTCGGTCGGGCTAGAGGGACGGTGGTCTGCTGTCAGAGGGACGGCTAACCCGGTCTTGGTTTCGCACAGTAAGACTCGCGTATCGCCTACGTGGGCAACGGCAATGGTTGCGTGCGCGGAAGGATGCCAGAAAGGCGTTGACGAGGGGGTAGAGATCAACGCCACGGAGGCAGTCGATCCCCCTTTAAAGCGGTGCGGCCCTCCAATCCCGTGGCCCGAGGGGGGAGTTGGGGGGAGCCCAGTATCTCATCTTTGTTGAGGGGGAAGTCGGCGACGTAAGGATCATCGGGGTCGGGCTTACGGGCTTGCGCAGTGACGAAGTCGAGGTCGGCACGGAGAAAGGCGTAAGTGAGGACTGTTTCGAGGGTGATTGGTCCTTGAGAGGTTAACGGGGGAGGGGGGTTTGGGTCCCGGGAGGAAGGAATTGGGGGAATGGTAAAGCAGGAGGGTCGGAAACGGCGCCAGTAGCCGCCGATGGTGCGGCGGTACTCCTGGAGAAGGTCGGATTGCAGGCGAAGAGGCCGAGGGGTCGACGACTCGGAGGGGGGGACTTCGTGGTCATGTTGAGGGAGGATCGTCGGCGATGAGAGCGTTGACGGGTCTTGTAAGGAAGACGGGAGCTTCTTCGGGTCGTCTTTCTTCTGCAGGCTGCTCTGCAACTGCAGATCGGCAGCCGCCTGCTCGATGTACCCATGTAATTCGTCCCTCAAGAAATCGCTACACTCGGTCCCTCCATGCCCATCAAACACGGCGAAATAGAATACCTGCGGGTCGCCAAGCGCACTGGCTGCCGTGGTCCCAATCCCCGCTGCCTTTGCCGCCGCCGCGGCGTCCTGGCCTCTAACCAGACTGATCGGAGGGCGCTTCGCAAACGCGGGCATGGTGATGGTCCCGGCTTGGTTGGTGTCCTCATTCTGAATGCGCTGACCACGGGAGACGGCCACGCCAAAGTGATGCTTGGCGCTGCGCAGCGGGATGCGCACGACGGTTAGATCGCGATTGGGAGCCGAAGGACCAGCGGTTGAGCGCGAATCTGGGAAAAGGGAGGCCGATGGGAGGTGTGAGACGAAGTAGTTATGGAAGTTGCGCCGTGATGGTAGGCATAGAGCAGAGGGGACGCGCAGGAAGCGCGAGGTTTTTGCTAGAGAGGTCATGCGTGGACGACAAGGGTATGTAGAGAGAGCTCGGGTCTGTTGATAGTTTGGATGTCCTGGAGAATGGAAAAAGGTCGCAACATAATCGCCAAAGAGATCGAGTAATGCAGTCTGCTGGACGGCAGAAGGACGTGATCGAGGTGGCATTGGGCTTGAGAAGTCGTAATTACGAAGTGAAAAAATGGGCGTTATCAAAGATCAGAAGCGAGAATGCCAACCAAATGCGACGGCGCGATGCAATAGCGCTGCAATTGCTGCATAACTCGCCCACTATGCAATCATAACAAGAGAGTCAAAACGAAGAAAATAAAGGCAGAGGGCTGCGGCCACGAGGCAAAGGCTAGGGACGGGGACAGGGACCAATTTGAGCTTTTGTTGATGGCGCACCACCTTCAAAAGTCGTTGAGCAACTTTACTGAGGTTCGAAGGCATCGGGAGCGCACAACATACCCCATGTTCCATGCCCCATGCCCCCCTGCCAATCGCTGCCAAACTTTCACGGGCTGCCTGCATTTTTGCTGCATGTCCACATGGGGTTCTGCATCGAGTCTTGGCATCTCTGGCGGCTTGGCTTTTGGGCTGACAGCTTCGAGTCCATCGACGATGGACACTCGGGTCTTGTTTTCCACTGGCGGTCAGCCCTGTGATTGGCTGCTGCAGTGGATTTTTTATCTAAGAATTTTGATTTTTCTTCTCTGCAATTCTGCTTCTCTCCGCCGCCAGCTCCAACACAAACGTGTCAGTGCCGACAAGATTTTCTGACAGAGTTTCCTTTTTTTTCTTCATCCCTCCATTTTTTTTCTCGTTGCTCCATCGTAACAACGTGCGAGAGCATGCACACTTCGGGCTGGCCGCCCTCCTCCACCCCCCTGCTCTTACGATGCCGGGCGCAAAAGCCCTGTTACTGGTGGAGCCAGGGCCAACGTCATTTGGTGGGTCTTGTTGTGGGAGTGGATTTGCGCGTCTGCCCAATCACAGTGCGACACCGCTTGGCAGCCATGCGTCTTGGCGTTGGGGTTCTGACTAGGGACCATCAACTTCATCCACATCATCACTGCTGAAGACAGCCTGACAGCCTGAGCTGAACGTCCCGCCTGTCAGGTGCTCAGCTACTGTCCAATCGCGGAAATGCACACATAGTACTTCTGGACTGATACCTCGACACGTACAATACAGATCTGGTATCCTGTTCGATGACCGCTGGCTCGAACGCAGACAATGGGCGACAGTGCAGAAGCCCCCGCCCAGGATGACGGCTCCGACCCTTCCGGCTTGAATGGCGTCAAGGTCGTCGATATCGTTCCAGACGGTGATCTCATACTCGATGTGACATTTTACACCTCAAAAGATGTCCTGCAAGCCGCGCGTAAGGCGGCCAGGAAAACGGTCCCGTCGGTTCCCAAGGAGCTGCCACAGCCGACGCTGAGGTCAACCGTCCGCGTCGCCTACCGCGTGCACCTGGCCGTCCTGCGCCAGCAGTCCAAGTACTTCGACAACCTCCTTGGCGACAAGCGATTTGCTGAGGCAAAGTCGATCGAGTCTGCTCTACAACGGCTCTCCCTGCAAGGCATAAAGCCCGAAAATGCCAGTCCAACCGACTTGCCTGTGGTAAAGATCCACGAAGATGACGAGACTACGCGCTCCGTAGGCCGCGAGGGCATCTTCGAGGATCTTCTGCGCATCTTGCATAGGAAGCAATCCACTACCAACACCAAGCATGTGTCCATGCACTACCTGGCTGTCCTAGCCGTGTTGGCCGACAGATTTGCCTCCACGGGGATCGTGTCCCGCTATGTGAGCGCGCTCAAGTACAAGTGGCCGGCCACTCAAACGCGGCTAGGCAAGAATGACGGCCCGACCTTGTCCCGTGCCGCTGAGGAGACGCTGCGGCAGAAGATTTTGGTGGCATGGCTGTTGGATCAGCCGCCTAAGCTGATGACTTCTACACGGGAGCTGATTATGTATGGCTCCCGGAGATGGCGGACCTTCGGCGATGAGGAGGACGAGGAGGACGAGGAGGTTGGACATGCTGCGTGGTGGGATCTCCCCGATGATTTGGAGAGTAAGCTCCCCTCTTCCATTTCACGTATGAGAGCTTGCTAACGTCCCCAGGGGAGCTCCACTACCGCCGGGACTGCATCCTCAACACCCTAGCCTCCATCCCACGCCACTTCCTTCGCCTCTACACCTCTCGCACACGCCAATGCTCCCTCGGCTATGACACCTCCCCCGCTTGTGACTCCTTCCAGCTGGGCGAGATGATCAAGTTCTTCGTGTCCCGAGACCTCCTCTTCTTAGTGGACTTCTCCCCCCATTCTCTCGACACCATCCGCGACTTTGCCGCTACCGATCTAGGACACGTCATCGCTTCCCTCAGGCAGTGTCCTTCGTATCCACTCGATAAATATCACACTAGTTGTGGCCTTCGGATGAGGATCCTGCCCATAGTGGATTTTGTCCAGGCTATGTTGTCGAGTAGTGCCGTCGCTATTGGCCGGGTATCATGGCTTAAGGCACGTGAGGCGACGAGTTGGATGCCGAGAGATAATGGAAAAAGAGAGAAGAGAGTGTTTCGGTTCACTAGGGGCATCGCGACGGATCAGAGGCTGAGGTATGAGGGGGCTATGGCTACGGAGCGTATTGCGAGGGAGTTGTTTACGGCAGATGAGTGGGATTGGACGCCGGAGGAGGATCAGGGGAGGGAAGAGGGGATGGGGAGGTGGAGGTTTGGGTGATGCGATGATGGGTTTGAGATCGTGACACGAAACTTGTTGCATTGATATCCTCTCGTTCATAACTCTGGGGCTGCATTGTTCCCTCTCCCTCTGTCCAAACTTCCTCGCTTTTCTCTCCTCAGCCTGCAGCCATCGCCCTCTATTCTCTCACCTCACAGCGCCCACCCTTTCAGGCCAATTTTTTCCCTCTACTCTCTCGTGGTGCAGCAGACGAAGTCATTCCCTCCAGGACAAAGCGGATCTACAAGCCAACCCCATCAACATCCTCAACTCGCCATGACCCAGATCTCAATGAACTGATGATCAAAAACTCGCCTTTCAACGGCCAACTCCCTGTATCCCCACACCCAAACGAGCACCAGCTCCAGGCTTTCGGGTCACAATTGTATATCATGCACCCTTGGATATTATTCGGATCGTGTAGGCACGGCCAATGCCCGTTAAGTTTCTCGAACGGCTGACCTCCATATCTCAGGCATTCGTTGCGGTCGAGACATATGCAGAGCCTGTGGTCTGGTGGGTAGCTGCATTGTCCGCCGGGGTAGGCTTGGACGGGCAAGGGGAGAAAAAGAAGAGAGAGGGAGAGATGGGGTTTCATGTTGTTATGGGATTAAACAGAGAACTGGGATGGGAATGATGGAGTTTTTGGTGAGTAAGAGCTCAAGATAAGGGTACCATTGCTCGGTCCACCATATTTATGAGTGTTCCAAAGCCCCGAAGTGAGTGACGTCTCATGTCATTAAACACATGTGACCATTCTGACCAGCTCGTTTCGCAGCGTAGGCGAGACAATAAACAGTAAGCCGGATCAAAGTGAGCTGGCCACAAGCACAACCGTACACTGGTAATCGGCTCTCCTTCGGCTTTCTACCCCAGTATGTTAGTGATCAACTAGGCTTCCGAATACATGCATATGTGTAGAAGACTACCAACACTGCTAAGTCATTCTGCAAGGGAGTCCTGCTTTGGAAGGACGACTTGTATGTTCATTCCCCTAATCTTGCCACACTGACTATGTGCAGAGACTTCATTGCTCTCTAAACTTCAAGTTTGAAGCCGGCTTGAGTTCACATATTTGTTATAGAGGCTGCGACCTTTGGAGCAATAGTCTCATACTGCGTGATCACTAGATGCGTGACATCCTATGTAATAACAAGACAGGCTATACGTTCAGACTCCCTCGCTTTATCATCCAGTCTCCTACGAAACACTTCCGCTTCAACCAGCATTCCCCCTCCTTAACCTCACACCCACCGCATATAGCAAACCCATCTCCCTCCAGGATATACCCGATCTGTTTACCCACCCCCGTATCACCCATCGCTCCAAAAAACAACTCACACCAGTTCAGTAAGGAAAACTCACCCCTCAAAGCCGGCTCACTCTCCGTATATCCCGAGCACAATAGCTGCGCAATCGGCCCTGCTCATAGGTATCGCACCCTCAGACCACACATCCCTGGATATCGGGGTCCCATAGGCATGGCCAGGCACCGGGCTCTCCGGGTTAGGAGTAGCCCTCGTAGCGGGACTATTGTTGAAGCCGAGGCAAATGCACTATTGGTGGCCATACATGCCGGACCAGCAGCCGCCTGGGCAGGCTTGGACTCCTAAGGGAAGGAGGACGGAAGAGAGGAGGGAAGAGGCCTCATGCTGATGGTATCAAGAGATGATGAATGAACCTGGTATGCTTGAGAGGCTTGGAAGGAAGCTCACGATAAGGCTCTCAGTCCCCATTTCAGGAGGGTTATATCTTGGGAAATAAATGTCGCATGCCTTAGGAACGCCTAATCAGCATCATTGAAGTGTTGCAATATCGCTTTCATGCTCTCAGTATTTCTTTTACCTACAGGCTAAGACGGATCAGAGTAGAGCAGCCGAGAGGCGCAGCAGTATGCTGGTTACTTGCTCTGTTTCAGGTTTTCCCCCAGGGTCTCAATGATGGTATGGAATCCCGACTACATACATATAGTTGGTGTGCTACGCTATTCGATCTTTCAGTAAGGAAGTGAGCTCCGCCTAATCGATATTAGAAGTGCTGGCTGGCCTGAGAACCACTTTTTAGGGACGTAACCCGATCAGCAATTGCGCACAGCTACGGCATGAAGGTGAAGACATCTATGAAGCTTTTAGACTCTCTGCTAAACTTTTCTCTTCCTACCATATTTCGTTCCCCTAGGTTAAGATGCCTGGCCTTGACTTCTCCTCTCCTGACTCCGTTGACATCCTACTCACTCCTAGTTTGTCCCCTCTCCTCAACCCAACAACAGCAAGCCATGCTATCCTCCCAGGACAGGCCATCCAGTCTAGTACCCCCCTTCATCAGCATTCTCACCTCTAAGTAACTTGATTCAACTCAGGCATGTAAGCATCAGTCACTTTTCATTGGCACTCAAAGCAAATCCCTCCCTCCCCCCCCCCCTCCAAAAAAAAAAAAAAACAACAGTATATTCTCTCGGAAAAGTACAGATGTTCTCTATATCGTTCCTACGGTTGTTACATCCCCAAACCTAAGATCCCAGAATGGTAAGGGGATCGTTAGTATAGAGCCAGTTGCTCGGATTGGGATTGGACCAGCCACTAAATTGTTGGCGTTCAGTGACGGACGGGCAGATGTACGTGTTGTCGAAGGGTCGACCGGTGCAGGGTCGGTTGAGGGCTTCAAGGGAGAGGGGAAAAAGGAGGAGGATGAGGGGCAGGGTTGGTTTAGGGAACTTGGTTGCAACGAAGGGAACTATAACTATTGGTGAAGGGTAGGTGAGTTCTGAGACGTGTCCATGAAGGGGAGTTCAAAAATGAGGGAAGGAGGAAGCATTTATCTGGTCGATGGGCTCCTGTTCCATAAGCACGACAGATGCGGGTATCAAGGAATGTTTGGTGAGCGTGAGACTGAGTACGAGCTTAGCAGGTCATGGTTCTGACCTCACACATTTTGGGATTGGAACATTCACCCAGCTCTCCGAGGAACTGAGTTCCTCGCCATTGTCGATATTGATTGACGTCAATGCAGATGCAGTCTTGGCTGTTGTGAAGGAAGGAGCAGGAGCCCGCCTGGGTTAGCCGGAGATATAAAGGGTAAGGGAGGGAAGAGTAAGGTAAGGGGAAACATCACGTTTGTTTTTGGGAATGGTCAGGAGGTAGTTGGTGTTAGCCTCTGATGGAGTCGGAGGTTGAACTTAGAGGATGGGCTGGACATGGAAAGATGGGATATTGAAAGGGGATTATATGTAATCCCATCGGGTTTACATGGATCATGCAGTGTTGTTGCTTGTTATGACCCAACATACCCGGCTGCCTCTGAAAATTTCTTGTCTAATTTGGACTCATATTGAAGTAAACAAAGTTTTAGTGAAGCTGCTAGTAGTCTTCCGGGAACGCAACAGGGCTTTGAAGGAAGCAGATGAACCAACTGTAAGACGAGAACGGGATGTTCTCTGATCATTGGGCGCCGCTTGGGACTTTTAAGGCTGGCATGCATCACCAGGTAGTCTGAATTTTTTTGGATCGTTTCCCCGAGAGTCTTTAGCCCAAAATAACTTGGTCGCATACGATATCTGTAGCAGTTCTGGCTTCGAGGTCTCATTGTTCCCGTGTTTGAGCACTAAAGTCTTCGAACCGTTTTATTCTAGCCAGTACTCGTAGCTAACTTTGCCATTCGTATCCATTACAAATCCCAGAACATTGATTCTTACAGTGCCCAATCTGAGACGCATCGAACTATCACAGCTCCAACCGCAGGAGCTAGCACACCCAGCTGGGTCGTTAGGCTTGATGTTGCAGCCCTGGATGTTGTCAGGCTCATAAAGGAAAGGGCCGGTCACCTGGCTTATTTAGAATTGAGTTCCTGCCAGATACTCTGCACTTAATAACATCGAGATAGATGCATGCTGATAAGTAATGACTGTTGGAGCAGCAGCTCACGGGGTAGGCGGGGCTGAGATAAAAAGGATGGAGATCTCATTATGTGAATGATCTGGGAGATTTACAGAACTGGGGCAGTATGAGCAAAACTTTGCTGAGATTGACTGCTGGTTACAAGACAAAAGAGATGGATTTTAATATTGGTGCATATACTTTAGTAAGAGGCAAGTTACCCTGATGGCTTGCTGCCATTGTGATAAATGATTGCTAGTTGCCAATAAAGCTCAACGAGAGTCGTGAATTACTCTTGTGTGACGGCAGGGGTCTTAGATTAGCCGGCAATTGACTGACTTAGTACTAAAAAGGTTATGTATTTCCAATATGTGGGGAAGATGGTAAATAACCTGTGATGAAACAGACAGACAGCCATCCCGTTATTGGAGAATGTGTTTTGGGATCTGCAGCCTTCGGTCTCTATTGTGTAGGGGGTGTGTCTTGACATCAAGTAGTAAAAGATTGTAAGGACCCGGTAACATGGCAAGTTAAAAAGAACTCAAGAGATCACCAATTCCTTATTGACATATCTAGCAGAACTGAGATTACGCTGCTCAAGTCTCACACCAACCCCTGCACCCGTATTCCACCAACGGCTTCAATCCGTGTCCAGATTGGATCTGAACTGCTCTCACAGCGTTGTCTTCGCCCTTCGCAACATCTCCGCGGGATATGAAAGGGCTAGCAGTCAAGCCAAGAACCACCCAACCGCATTCAGATCCCAACGCAGCAGAAGAAGTCATTGCCGCCAGGGCAGACAGGGTCTAGTTGTCGTTATCGTCAGCAACAACTCTCTTCATAGATAACATTCATGAGGGAGTGATGTTAGGATCATTACCAGGAATTTTGCTATAACCTGGCCTACAGCCAAAAGCGCAGTAGCTGCCACGGCCCTTGGGGTCGCAGCCGACCTTCTTGCAGCCAACGATGTTGCTCAGATCATCCGGGCAGGGCCAGTTGCCAGGAGAGCCCACGATAGTGAAGCCGTGCATGCTTTCGCATCGCGCCTTATCATAGCAAATGCAGTCGTTGTCGGAGTTATAGGGCGGAGCACAAGGACCGCCGGCCTTTGCCAGTGCCGAGGGGAGGGCAAGGAAGAGGAAGGTAATGGTTCGAATGCTGAGGAACTGCATTTTGGTTGTTTTGTGGTATGTGTGTTTGGTGACTGGCTTAGTCCGCAGAGCAGGTTGCTTCGAGTACGCCTGAGCTCGAAGCTTGTGATTTATGACTCGATTGACTTTAAGGAAGAGAGAACAAAGGGGTTATTTATCCATGACGAGGCAGAATTGATAGTATGAGGGAGTTGGGTTCGAGTGAGACAATCATTCAAGAGATGCACAAGTTGGAACACTGACGATGCCTTTCGAACTGAAGAACCCTGCTACACAGAGCATTAACACTTGGTTTTGCGCTCCTCATAGCTTGAAGCAATAGTTGATAGTGAAAAAAGAGGCTGCTTAATTGCACTTACTGTCCTTGCTATCATACTGTCCATGTAGACTGCTTACGACAGGATCCCGAAACACATTCGTGATGTTGCAAAGCTGGTAGAGTTCAGAGTTTTAGACACAGCCACGACCCGTAGTATCTCAAGGTTCTTAATAGGTTCGCTATACGACCTGACGTCAACATATCTATGGCAATGAATGGCTGTCATGAGAGCCTTCATAGAGCAGTTCAGGTTCTCAATATCTGATAATTTGGCGACAGGACACCAGGTCTTTCCTCCAGCAAAATCAACACTGTTTGCTTCCCATTGTCAATCTGCAAAGGCGATTCTCTACGTTGTTGTTTTGTTGAGGTTAACTAGCTGGTTCCGAGTCAAGACTCAGCCAATCCTGACGAAGTTGGTTTACCTATTTGCAACATTAACTCCTGGATTACATTAAGTTCATCTCTCTGGTGCAAGCTTCAGCCACAAAGAACCATTCAGCTGAAACAACTCGGAACTACCTTGTAACATGAAGGCTTGGAGCCCCTCACTTGCAGCGATCAGCCCGGGTCGAGAGTGAGATCAAGCTCTGTGTGAGGATCAATGAGACTCAGATTCAGCCTTGCTAGCAGGACTGCTCAACTGGCCATCGCAGCACCTTTCACATCCAGAACAAAGTTATTAAACAGGGAAGCAAAGTCCTTTCTAGAGCAATCATTTTGCATTGGGTCACTCGGCTTCACACCTGATTCTTAGCTCTTCCATAACTGACACTTAATTAAGACTGTAATTCCCGAGTTTCAACCTCCCCTCCAACTCTTCACCACTGGGACTCTTTACCCCTTGACATGTGGGCGTACCAGTCCTGTCCAACTAATTTTCTCTCTCTTCAATCCGGGAATATGTTCCACAGCTCTATGCAGCCCTATGCAAACTAATATATCCCCAACAGCCCGTGAACTGTGAACCGTAAGCTGTAACCAGCGGCGGCATAATTCCGGTCCGCCGCCCCGGACCCCTTGGGGAAGCCATACAAGGTGGCGGCGGGGTGCAACGTCGGGCGCAGTGCCACAGCCGTTTAGCCTCCTTCTCGATTGGGAACAACACTTCGGTGTCCCGGATTTCTGGAAGCTCCGGGCTTTCCGTAACAGGAGGCGGTGAAGTGACGACCTTAGCTTTTAGAAGAAGGATCATAGCGCTGAGTTCGATGCTATGTCTTGGAAACCTTGCTGTTCAAGATGCCATCGATGTAAAGGGAACCGTCCAACATTGATCAGTTGGCGAATAGAAACTAGCACATATTCTTGCGGGTCGTGCTGACTACTTACATCGCCACTCTTCTAGTTCCCATGCATTCACCGAAGAGAGAAGTTTGCCTGCATGCTCTCGGTCAACTGAGGTTGTAATGAGAAGAAATACAACTACAACTTGATACTTGAAATGACAATTCTTGTTGTATGACAATCAATGGATCGGCAAAGTGTTTTCAAGAGCGTAAATCTGGGGATGGGTCATTGTAAGCATGTATCTACTTGAAATTACTACTTCCAGAAGGCACATACGACAGGCGAATATTGACTTTCGAGGCAATATCCTAATCAAGGCACTATAAAGATGTCCCGAAAAAGACTACGCTCTTGTTTGAGCCTCATAAAACCCAGTTTCTTCCTGTCAAACAGCTTCGCAGCTCTCTAAAATCCCAAAAGTCATCATTCAATCTCATTCCCCAAGCCCCCATGCTGCCCCTAACAAAATGAGACCGCTCGCCTTCCTCCTCCTATTCAACCCCATAACCCTGGCCAAGATTGGCGGCCGCTGCCACGGCAGCTGGAATACCGACAACTGCATCTGTCACGACGTCACAGAGTGCCAGAAATATTACGGCACTCCGGAGCCCGGAGATACTGGCAATTGGCCCTGCCCGGACGATCCGGCCAACATGCAAGCCTGCTTTGTCAGGGGCTGCGACTATAGGGGCTCCAACGCCTGCAGTTATTGCGCGTGTCAGTGCAGTGAGGCCATGGGATTTTGGAAGATTAATGGTAAGTCGTTAGCGAGGATGCTGAGCTCGTCATATGGACGGAGAACTGACAGGAAGCTAATAATTTCTACTTGCCCTGGTGACAATTACTTATTTTGCTGTTCCCAACTTTAGCTGCAGTGCCGCTGTAGCATATCAAAGCTTCCATATGGCATAAGCGTTGTTATATAAAGAATTATCAAATGGAAATGAAATATAAAATGGCGGGATAACTGAATTTGGATGCAATATCTTTGAGATCAGAAGGTCAACTTTGGGAATACCGGTTACTGTCAATACGGGCTCTTCCAATCCACTCACGCAAAACCTAATTTTAGCATTCATGACTTCTAGAAGCATCAAGATTACGGAGTCATGGTGAATATTTTCCTCGTTTGGAGGGCTTAAACATGGTCTCAATGCATCAACGAGGTGTTCTATCACACTCAAATAGTAGCAGCATCAATTACAAAGGTTGTGTATTTTAGAGACGATTCTGCGCATGACAGAAACTTTCAAGAAAAACAAATCTCTCGCCGGTGAAGACAGATATACATAGCCTCTCCTACAACCTTTTTTCTGTGCTCAAGCCTACCAGGTCCTCATCTCCTGGGAATACATGCCAGAGGTATTTTGCTCTCATCATCGTATGGCCAGAATTAAGTTCCTCGCACTCCTCCTCTTCGTTCTCACTACCACTCTTGTCCTTGGAAAACTCGGCGACCACTGCATTGGCAGTTGCACTCACGGAGGCTGTATCTGCTGGGGCCACAACAATACATCCATAGGTACAATTGCTTGATTATCGAGGGCAAGCCCGGTGACTGGACCTGTTCAAATGATCCGAACAACACTGCTGGATGCTTTATGAGATGGCGTGATCACAAGGCGGTCTATCTATTGAATAGTCAGTGCCGGTTCAACGAGTGTTATTCTGGTTGGAAGCCGACCACAGGCAAGTCCCATATTCTTTGGTGCTATTGTGCTTGCGAGGCTTTGGGCTATGGGATCTGGATAGACCGGACTTGCCCTGGGGAGAATGACTTCTTTTGCTGCACCTACTGTCGTTATTGATTGCGAATTGGGTTGGGCTGAATGTCAGTGTTATTGTGGGGATGGCCATATTCTGTAGCAATCTGAGGCTTTCTGTTCTGTCATTGGATTTGGGTGCATGCTGATGCACGGTACTCACTTTCCCTTTGGAAGGCCAAAATAACCTGATGATCTACACTGCCAAAGACGGGCCGAAGTCCAGCTACTGTCAGAGTGCATCTGAGAAGAAGGTGACGAGGTTCAAATGGGACTAGAATTGCAAAATCCGAGGTGGCTGATCTTTGTGGTGTTTAGCCTGTCCTTATGAGACCCTGATTCTCCTTATCCCAATCCATATTTCACCATAATAATGTTCCTCGGCCATGTGATCTCCAAGACGTTCAAGAGTTTAGCATAGCCTTCCAATCTTAGTATTATGGGATGGGATGGGTCATCAACTGGTGATTCGTTTTGTCAGAGGTATAAAGGACACCCATGGCATCCTCTTGGCAACAGACTGGCTTAGATACAGGATCCCCACAACAGTCCCCCACAGCAAATCCTCTGTCCACAAATCTCTAATCACAATGAAGTTTCTCGGTCTCCTTTCTGCTGCACTAGAGTCTAAACAGTCTAGATGATAATCTGAGTTTTTGCTCATGTGTATTTTTTTTGAAGGGGTAGAAACACAGATCACAGATGGGATGGGGAAAAGAATGAGGTTAGACGGTTATGGAGGTGCAAGGTGTGGGTAAAGTACCTACATATGATCAAGTGTTCAGAGCTTGAAGCTTCTTTTTCTGACTGTTGTCTTCCACTCTCCCCCAGTAACCCTAGCTTATTCCGGTGATCGCTGTTCCAGGATCTTCCAGGGCGACAAGTGCATCTGCAGGGATGAAAACGAGTGCAAAAAAAAAAAAAAGTATGGTGGCAATGTCATTACCGGATGGCAAAGCCAGTAGCCGTGCCCTTGGGACCCGGACAACATCAAGGCCTGTCTCGTACCTGGATGTGACAAGAAGAGGCCAATGGGGTACAGTGAGTGTGCTTTCAAGTGTAATCCTGGTTCTCACCTCATCTCAGGTAAGTGTTCAAGGGACCTGATACCGATTAGACCAGAACAGGCTGATAGGCACTGGGCAGATTGGACTTGCCCTGGCGGTGATAACTACTTCTGTTGCACTTTGGAATAGGCTATAAACTCTCTAGGATTCCACAATTATGATCATAGCAGGACATTGATTGTGTGGACTTCCCTGCAGGTGGTCTACCGGTTGGAAGAGCAGCTCTGAAGATATCTGATGTATTAAACCAGTGGTTGAAAGTATTTATCAAGATAGAACCTATATCAGTTTTGTTGTCATTTCCCAACCAAAGTCATGAGACCAGCTTGTTGTCAAAATCTACTAAATACATTTCAACCAGGCTGAAGGGACCAAATTTGCTCAGCCAGGGTTGCAGTATAGGCCATCGGAACTCAACCCGAAGCCAACAAGAACGCGTGAGGGGCTGCAGACATCAATGGTGACATCCCGTTCTGTTTATAAAATGGTTGTCGGCTGTCCCCATCTTGGGCCGAACCACACCGTTGCATTGCAGCCGCTCATGATATTTGTTGGTTGTCAACACTTCCTTTCTGGATATATTACATCCTGCAAGCAATGTAGAAAGTATCCAGATCTTCTGCCTTACAAGGATGGGACTTCATCCACCGATTCTCTTATCTCACGCTAGCAATAGCATCAACCAGAACACCAAGTCCATGGACTTTTTGAGTTGGAGAGCATCAAAGCTGTTTCCCTTCCCTTCTCTCACCTCCCTGTTCATGCTTGAGAGACATACCTGGTCACTCAAATTTCAGCACAACGATGCCAAAAAGCCAAATTCAGACCGACGAGTAAAGTTCACCAGCCAGCCCACTTATCAATGGGGAGTGATCCGGCTACGGAAACTCGCGGTTAACTTGGGCTTGTCTTCGGCGACCGCAAGTACCGGGAATCCCGCTGCAACCGGAGCCCTGACTAGAGGGGTAGGGTCCTGTGCGTGGCTGTGGAAAAGATCCCCGTGGCCCCTAACCAATATCTTAGGATATTTTTGGGTCCGCTGAAAACACAGGTCAGCGATTCGAAGCTACGACCCTCGTGAGGGTAGCGGCAGTGATTTATGTGATTTATATCTCTAGTCTGGCGTGCCTTCATCTACGCCAAATGGCGTAGTCGGATGCCCCGTTGTTGAAAGGTAGAATCCGAAGGGCGCATTATATGGTTGCTTGCTTGCGTGGGGGAGGGTAGGCGGTGCTGGGAGGAAGGAGCTAGGGCCAGGAGGGTAAGGTATGGGGCTGAGCAGGGTACTGGCGAGGGTCACATGAGAAAGGCGGAGATACTTGGGTGACTGAGTCTCTCTAAGTCTCATCCATCTCCAATGACTTAGGGACATACGGTACTAAAGATAATAGGGCTATGTACATCTAAAAAAGAAAATGACTAGGAGCAAGAATGTCCAATGAAAAGCGACACCATCTTTCAATATGACTTCAAAGCAACTAACCCCCAGCCCTCGCTAGCAACCATCTCACACCCTCTGTGTCATCCAGATTAGATAGGACGTCGTCAAAAAGGTAATTAAGGCGTTGAACGAAGCTCATGAATGGCAATGCATGATCCTCCTTTTCTCATCTCAACAACAACAACAACAACAACAACAACAACAAAAAAAGACCTAGGTCGCCATCCATCCCTCCAATTCCCATACGGTTCATTCACAAACCACCAGTCCATCCATCCAGCCGGCCAGACATCGATCCCACGAAATACCATCCGCTGCCTGAATCCAATGATGTAGGTAATTGTCGTCCGTCATGATGACCATGAGAAATATATAGGTACTTCCCACCACAGCAAGAATCAGCCGTCTTCCAGAGAAAAGTAGGAAATGAGGAGGTACCTAGCATTACTCATCACCCATCACCATCCCCGGATCCTACCCATGAATCATCACCCTTGGATTGTATAGATTTATTTCTTCTTTTAACCTTTCCCCTTTCTCCTTCCTTCCCTTCTTTCCTTACAAACCCCACGAGTGACATGAGAAGCGAAGACAGGTTCTTAAAAAAGAAGACGTAACAGAAAACCCGACATCCCCAACAAGAAAGAGAACGCGAGATTAAAAACAATACTAATCCTCCCCTTACTTTCAAGACCAGCCAGCCTGACCGACCACCTGTCCATACCTAGTCCAGACTGTCAACAACCAATCAGCATATAAACACACCCCTGAACGGCAACCTTCATTCATACATCTCTTTTCTTCCCTCCTCTTACATCCCATTCACTCCCCACTTCTTAGTTCGTCTTAGCCTTCTTCCTAGGCAGCCCCGCAGCCCTGCGAGCGCGAATATCGCCCTCCGCGAGCCACTTACTTGCCTTAACCAGTTGCACGACATTGATAATCTGCTTGAGCGCCATGACAGGGAAGCTAACAGCAGCCAGGACCCACGGCCAGAAGCTATCGATCTTGTTTGCGCGGGCGAGCTCGAGGGCAGCGGCGCTATACGGGCTGGGACCAAACAGCTGGCTCAACAGAGAGGTATTGACCTGCGCGCCCTGCTGGATGGCGGCGGCCGCCTGGTCGGGCACTTGCTGTAGCAGGGAGGGGGAGAGCAAGGGCGAGGAAAAGGATAGCAGATAGAGAGCGATGAAGAAGGCCTCGTTGAGGGCGCAGGCCATGAACAGAACCGTCTTGTTGGTGTAGTACAGAGACAGGATGCGCGAGCGCGACTTGTCGACCGACTTGTGCGACTGGTCGGCGCCGCCCATGGCGAGGGTCGCGTACATGTGCATGTAGTGCGAGGCCAGGTCGAGGGAGATTAGGCCCTGGAAGAGGATGGCCCAACGGGGGAAGGCAGACGACAAAAAGACAAGCAAACAGGCGGTTGTGCAACGGTCGGTGACCATGTCGAGCACGGCGCCGAAGCGTGTCGATTGCTCGAAGTACCGCGCCGCATAGCCGTCTAGTGCGTCGAGCAGGCACGAGACACTATACAGAAGCGAGCAGGTGCGCGGATGCAGAGGCATGTAGTAGAGGGAAGCAACGGCGAGGATGATGCGGGAATAGCCTGTGGCGGCGGGCGGTTAGCTCGGTAAGGTGTCGAAGCCTGGGGAGTGTGGCAGATGCCTACCGATGATGTTGGGCCAGAACCAGAAGATGTTCTCGCGGGGCTCATCGTCGGCGGCATCCTTGGCCTCAATGTGGGCAGACCCGTTGACGGGGATGTCCTCCTTCTCCTGGGACGGGCCCTGGCGGCGACTCTTGGCTCCTGCCATGATGACGGGTTGTCAGGCTACACAGAAGGTTGTTGTAGTTGTTCTATGGAGAGAAATCGACGGCTGAAGTAGTGGAGATTGCGCGCGAGAAAAGGGGGGCGGAGCTAAATAGAAGGAGACACAGATGTGGATGTGGGCTCCGATGACGAAGGGTCAGGAGTGCCGCGGTTGAAATCAGAATCCAAACGCAGCGGGCAGTAGGGTTTGTTTGGCAAAACCGCGGCGCGGCTTGTGCAACCAGACGCAGGCTGAGCTGGTGAAGCACGGTGCTTGCGATTGATTGCGGAAGTTTGAGCAGGCGAGGTCAGATCACGACGGTCAGCCGAGCAGAGAGCAGGCTGCAAGGCACGAGTGACGCGAAAGGCGAAAGCGAGAGCCTGAACGTGAGTTTGGAGAAAGGGGCGGAGTCGGAACGGGGCGTCGTTGAGGACGGGCCGGGCTTCGCAAGATGAGTCGTCGGGGGCTCGGGAAACCTTCAAATCAGAGACAAGCTTCGCCTGGTGGGCTCCTTTGGATTGGGCTTTTGAGCTGCGTGGTTGGACAAGAGCTAGGGTTGTCTCGCCAGTCTCTCTGACAATTGGCAAATGCTGGATCGCTGGGCCGGCCACGAACCACGCGACGAAGCGCGCTTTTTGTTGGTGGTGCTTGCGTTGCTGGACCCAGTTTTTTTGGTCCGCTAAGCGGCTGATAAGGAGTATCTGTCAGCTGCCGGTCGATACAAACCCTGGTCATATCGACACATGCCGAGGAATAATTCCAGGGTTATGTATGGGCAGCCGACCCTTATCAGATCTTTTCTGCCTTCCTCGTCACTCTTCCCCGCGACGCAGTGCAACTCTGAAATCATGCCCCGCGTTTAACCTTAGCTTGTTGTATCAACGACTTGATGGCAAGGTCTTATCTAGGCTCATGTCCAAACATCCCATTTATCCTCCGATAGTAGTTCCGCGGGGGTTCGACCAAGCACTGAACTCAGTGAAATTGCTTCGTCCTGAGTACCCCTCCTCCAACATCTCACAATCCGTACCACCTACTATAAGAGGTGGTAGGAACTTTTTGAGAGAGAAGTATTGGAGATGCATACCTGAAGGCACACAACGAGCTGTAAACGCAGAGGACCCTCTGCTTGCCTTTCGGAAGAATGCTCTACTGTCTTCCTCAGAGGTCGCTCCTGGAACACAAAATGGACAGAAAATCCAGCCCATATGCCCTCGTTCAACAATTGTAGCTCACGCGCACGGCACTTTCTCCCAAACACCAAGACGGTACGATCTGCGTGGGGCGGCGATCACACCGGTTGTCTGGCCCGATGGGACGTTGTGGTCTGAACTCTGCGATTCCTGGGTTTGCCCATGAACCACGACCGCACTTTTTAACACACCAACACTTTCAGGGGGTCCCTCCTGCTGAGTGGGGAGGAGCGTTGGCCCTGTTGGAGCACTATTTCTTGGCTTTGGCCAGCCTGGAGGAACCTCTTCCTGTTTTTCTTCCACAGCATCGCTCCTGTACTTCATCCACACCATGTATTAGGCTTCGGGCCTTGCAGGGCCATCCATTCGTTCCCAATCAACAGGGTTACCCATCGTCCCAGTCCTTTCTCCAACACCATCGTCCTTCATCGACACTCTCCCCACATTACACGCGCGCGTACAGTATCCAGCGGTGATGATTCGTGTGCAGTGGTGATGGCTCCATCGAGATCGACTGATACAGCCCACCTTGTGCCAAAATGCCAGCGAGATGAGGTCTGTGCTTGCATCAGAGCTGGTTTCTGCTGGCCCTGCATACTCCAAAGGCCGCGAAATCACCGACTCACTCGGTCAAGGACACTGCGGTCTCATGGTCTTCCTTCAAGTAGATGGGATCCACTCAGAACTTATCCTGAGAGGAAGAGTGAAAGGTTAGAGAGAAGGCAAAAAGAGTTAGGCAGCTGGAGGAATGCATATTTTTGTTGGCATCCGAATGCAAGTGGCATGCGATGCTTAAAGCTTCCTGATCGCCGGGAGTAAAGTCGGCGCCTCATTCGGAGCGCTCAGCATCGGAAGTCGGTCCTCCAGCTCAGTTGCGAGGCAAGCTGCTCCAAGGGAGGTTTGCTTCCGGGCTGCGTCACGGAACTTGCCAGACCTGCCGCTGCAATGCCAACACATCCAATCGATGAATCTGCAGGTGTCGTCGAATTTTCACGCAGCCACGGCAGCAGCAGGAGCAACAAGTAGCCGCACGACCCCCCTACGTAACAGGTGTCAATCTTAGCGCTGACCGGACACACCCAAGGGGGGGGGGAAGTGATGTACGTAGACCCCGCTAGATCGCAACTCCAAGTCGCAGTCTTGCGCATCGAGCCTCATTTCGATCAAAAGCATCAAATATTTGACTCAGAGCACGTCTCGACCGTTCGAACAGCCAGCTATAGACCAGGCTCGAACCTGTGTGGCGATACCCCATACTTTAGAGAACCACGGCATGTGCTATGAACCTCTCGTCTCGTGATGTGAGGGTCCCAATTTTTAGATTTGCCCAGGCTCAGCATCGCTCACAGCGAGTGGAGCTTGCAGATGGCGATGCCAGTGAACCACCGAATTGCGACCGCCGGGTCAACCTCGATCCTGGCCCTCTGCCTTCGTCTCGCCAATGCAAATCGCCTAGTGCGGTCTGGGACCGGAACAGACGGATCGGTCTGCGGTTGCAGTTACCGTCGCTTCCAGTTTTTGCTCCTTGGGTTGGGGTTTTTTGGCTGCCCACCGAGAGAGAGAGAGATCGGAGCTTACCGGCCACTCACCTGCTTACCGAGGGGAAGAGGTCGATGGTCATCAATGGATGGATGCGGGGCGAGCAGCCGTCGGTGTTCCTCTCTCCCGATCCTTTTTCTTCAAGATCCTTTGATCCTTTCTGTCTGGTGCAGCCTATCCGTTTCTGCCGAGTGCTAGACCAATCCTAACTCCCCGTGAAGCCGTGAAGCACAAGCCATCCAGTGCCTATAGCGCAATCGTTCTGCATTGGACCGTTCCATCGCTACCCCATGGTCCGTCCCTCTGAAGGTGAGATCTGCGCTGTCCAATCCGGGAGGCGCCAAGCGAGCCGTCTTCCGCTGCGGCTCCGGGCTCGACAGTGTATCCCTGCTCGGCGGCGGTTGGGACTTTTGGGAGAAGGGTGTCTGTCAGTCCGGGGGAGTCGATTCGGTGGTTGTCAGTTGTGTGTTGTGTGATACAGCGGCCCCCTTCTCTTGCCCTCAGCTCCGTGCAGCTGCAGCAAGTTTGAGTCGTGTTGGCAATATGAAAATCGATATAAAAGGTCACGGACAACTCAGCTGTACATGCCCTTGCCAGTTGAAATTTTTCAGCCATTTTTGTTTCCAATCAGCTGCCGACCCAACTTGAGGGAGTTCCCCTTGCGCTAGCCGTGCAACTCGATCTGCATTCGGAATCGTCAATCCGCGCTTGCCCACTGGCTGTCGGCCTCTTGGGATCACTTGAGTGTCGGCACCAAGCGGCCCAATCCACCAAACCCAGCGTGTCCACCGGCCGGCCCTGTCCCAGATCGCTCCACTGTGCGGGGTTTCCAAAAGCGCGCAATCCAATCCACAGCCGGATCCTGCCATCATCGAGGGAGCCCCGCCTTCTTAAGAAACCACTCGACGGCCGACACGAGAAAAGTCAAAAAGTCGCAAAGTCCCAGGCACGAAGCATCCCATCCCAATTCGCCGACGTCTTCACTTTTTTACGGTCGGGTCGAGACACTGCCCATTGCAAATCTGCATCTCCTTGAGAGATACGAACACATTCCTTTGATCGCTGACTTGCCATTGCTGATTAGACCTTGCTTGCCTCTCCCTCATTTTTTTTTCTTTTTCCCTGCCACAACACTCCTCAGCGGCTCTACACCCTGGCCTAGAGCTCTTTGGCAACGCACAAGAGTCTCGGCGCCACGATACAAACATATATATATACCTCTCTCCGGTTTTTCGGACGACGGCGACTGTACCAACTCCTCGACCGATCCTTGATCTGCGTGTACCCTACGTGACCACTACCATCTCCTGCCTTGATACCCGTACCTCATCACCTCTACAAATACCAGACACAATGACGACAAGCCGGCACGCCACCCTCACCCAAACCTTCGCCGAGCGGGCCGAGAAGGCCACGCACCCCCTTACTCGCTACCTCTTCCGCCTGATGGAGCTGAAGCAATCCAACCTGTGCCTGAGCGCGGACGTGACCACAGCCCGCGGACTGCTCGCGATCGCGGACAAGGTCGGCCCTTACATAGTCGTGCTCAAAACACACTACGACCTGATCAGCGGGTGGGACTATAACCCGCAGACCGGCACGGGCGCAAAGCTGGCAGCGCTCGCCCGCAAGCACGGCTTCCTCATCTTCGAGGACCGCAAGTTCGTCGACATCGGAAAGACCGTGCAGATGCAGTACACCGCCGGCACCGCGCGCATCATCGACTGGGCGCACATTACGAATGCAAACATTGATGCTGGCAAGGATATGGTGCGCGCGCTGGCCGAGGCGGCTGCCAAGTGGAAGGGCCGCCGCCACTGCGAGGTCAAGACCTCCGTCACTGTCGGCGCTCTCGACGAAGACGGTACTGTCAACGGCGTCAGCCCTTCCCATGTCGAGCCCCTGGAAGAGCAAATCCGTCCCGTTTCTCCAGAGCGTGACGCCGACGGCCGTAAGGGCAGCATCGTGTCCATCACCACCGTGACTCAGTCCTTCGAGCACGCCGGCGCCTCAGGCCACGCTGACGACGCGGAGTCCGTGTTCCCTGGCATCGAGGAAGCCCCCGCAGACCGCGGGCTTCTACTCCTGGCCCAGATGTCCTCCAAAGGCTGCCTCATGACCCGCGAGTACACGCAAGCCTGCGTTGAGGCGGCGCGCGACCACCGCGACTTCGTCATGGGCTTTGTGTCTCAAGAGGCTCTCAATTCTGCTGATGACGATGCCTTCATCCATATGACGCCTGGTTGCAAGTTGCCTCCTCCCGGCGAGGAGGACAAGCCGATTGATGGGGACGGTTTGGGGCAGCAGTACAACACCCCCGACAAGCTGATCAAAGGGGCGGGCACGGATATTGTTATCGTGGGGAGAGGCATTCTGGAGGCAGCGGATCCGGTTAGCGAGGCGGAGAGGTATAGGAAGAGGGCGTGGAAGGCTTATTTGGGGCGACTGGGGAAGGATGAGTAGGGGGTAATGGGATTCATAATTGGAGGGTAATTAGGATGAATGGGATTTTGGGATAGGGATGGATTATTGGATGGGTTGGGATTCATCATCATCATCATCATCATCATCATTGAAGCACGAAAATGGTACTTTTTCGATTCTCATGTGTATGCGTCGATGAGAGCGCGATTTAAGCGGTTTTTTTTTTTGGATAGGGACTTGGTTTCAAGGTGCGAATAAGATCAATATACGGATTGGTGCGCCTTTTGGTTAGACTTGATGGTTCACATAGTGATTCTCAACTGCCCCTCAGCATGGGAGGACAGCACTTGATTGAAGGTTGCTAAAGCTTGACAACCAGAGAGTGTGACAAGGGACTGGGAAGCAGGGATAACCTCGAGCTCTGCCATGGAGCACGTACAGCTCCTAAATCCAAGTACAGAAGCTTGAGGTGCTTGACAATGGGCTAGTCCTGATGACCTACTTAACGAAGCTAGAAAGAGCGCAGTTGAGGGAGACACCAAGTACTATCGATGGCCCATGGAACAATCGTTAGGAAGATCTCGATTAGGGCGCTTCGCAAAGCGCCAAAGTCTTCTCTCATGACCATACCCACTCTTTGCATATATTCCTAATCCATCCCCGCCCTCTCTCTATTCCATTCATTTCTTCCCCTTTTTCTTCCCCCCCGAACTGCCCCCCGCCGCAGGCGCAACCCCCATCCCTCCCAAACCCCCTCCCATTGCCCCCAACAAACTCGCCATATCCCCACCAAGCCCTGGAAACCCTCCTCCCGCCCCCGCATTCTGCATCTCCTTCATCATATCCTTTAAAAAGTTCTCACTAACCCCGCCACCCGTCATCGCAGGACTATAATACGGCAACAACTCCCCCATCTTCCAACCCCTCGGCACAGCCGGTCTAGGCCATGGCTTCCCTGGCTCCACGACTCCCGGCGGCGGAGGCGGCGCCCCCCGCACGACAACGTGCAATGCGGGGGAGGTGTCGCTGGTTGGGTTCTCGCGCAAGTGTTGCGCCACGAGCAGATACAGGTGGTGTTTATTTTTGATCTTAACCGGCGCGTTGGGGGGCAAACTGGCCAGGTCGACCTTGACGCGGCCGGGGTTTGCCCAGTCCTTGGGGTGTTGCTTGCCAACTTCGAGGACGGTGGTTAGGCGGAGGTTGGCGCAGGCGGCGACGATCTCGGTAGCTAAGGGGTTCTTGACGGCCAGATGGGCCGGAACGCGACGGCCTTCGGCTCGGGAGCGGGTCGCGTCGAAGTAGACGGGGTAGAGGCATTGGAAGCGCTTGTAGGCAGATTCATCGGTTGTAGTGGCCATAGCGGGGTAAGGACGGGGGAAGTGGGGTTGTTTTTGGGAGGAGGGGGCTGGTTTGGGGGGGTTTTGGGAGGGTCTTGAGGAGGAAGATGATGACTGTTGTTGATTGCGGGCGCGGAGGATGTCTGATTCGACAAAGTCGTCAATGTCGGCTTCGGAGGGGTCTGACATTTCGAGGTCGCTATCGGAGACCTCTTCTACGCGGGGGTGCGACATTATTTTGGGTGGTGGTTTATTTGTGATCAGGTTGACGGACTGAGTCTTGTGGCTGCGGGGGGACGTTGGAGAAGAGGTCGACGTTGAACTTAAGGTCCTGTGGATGTCACGCCTCGCAATGAGGTGAGGTTACCAAAGTGCCAATTGACGGAGATCTGGGACAGTTGAGATGTGGATCTCTGTAGTGGGGCATTGATTCTAGTCCAGAATTAACCCTAACCCTGCAGCGACTCAGAGACTTCAGCTTGCCATAACTCATTTAATCAAACTCTCTTATCATATTCCCTCGACAGTATCAGAGCAGAAGTTCATGAACTAAGCAGGGTCTATTTATATGAACTGTCTTGCTGACTAAACGGCGTTGTTTTCTGTCTTCATATCTCAGAATTTGTAATTCTGACTTCCACTAGATTCCACCACTCTATGCTTCCCCCAATCGCCACCCTCGCCTTCACCGTTTTAGTCTTCTTCAGGCTTTGACTGATTCTTTCACCCAAGTGACTTCAATATTCATGACATTATATGCATTGCTTGGTAAGAATCACAGTTTTTTCCGATGAAACGTGGAATTCTCTCAACGAATGGCCGAGCACGAGCGAAGAGAAGCCAAGACACCCATGTGGCTGCCTTGCCGGGCACAGCCTTTCGACGTCGAGTAACGTGAGTTTGAAATGTTGGATTGGTCACTCGATAGTCGTTCCAATCAGGATATCATTATCTATTATGCTGAAGCGCCTCGATTTAACTTTCACGCTTGAATTCAACCTACCCCCTCATCTGCACTTGGCGTCTCAGGTCTCACTTATAAGATGGGCCACCCCAGACATGAAAACCATCCTGGACTTCCTGGTTTTCATGATGATGAGTTGGGACCGATGCGCTAAACAAAATTCATTGCAATGGCTGAAAAACCGTGCATCGTGACGTCAGACTCTTACGTAAGCAAGCTTCAAGCCCAGCACTCTCCTCCTCTTAGTCCTTGGTACCCTGGTGGTCAGTTCTATGTGTCTGCGCCTTGCGAGGCTGCTGACATTCGCAATGTGGTGAACACCCATAACTGCTCAACTGTATCCGACTTTCAAAATCGCTACTCGGATCTCCTTCACAAACAGCAGATACTCTTCAACGTCAGCTGCTCCCAAGTATCACTCTGCCAAGTTGATGCTAACACCTCGCATTTTAGAATGAGATCCTCCCAGCCCTAATCGAAACTGAACGTCAAGTAAAGGAACTAAAAGAAGAGGTCAATCAACTCCGCCTCAAACTAGAACAGGAAAGAGAAGAATTCAGAAAAGTGAAACTCGATCTTGAGCGTGAAGAAGATACCGCTCGGCTTTACCAGCAGAGAAATAAAGCCCTGGAACAAGAGCTCGAGCAACTGAAAATAGAGAACCGCAAGTTCAAGAAAAATGAGATATTTGTGGAAGCAAGGAGACAAGCAGACCTGGAATATAAGGTACAAGTTGAAGGTCTCAAGCAACAGCTGGAGCAGGAGCGGGCAGAAAACGACAGGTGGCGTAATAATAGTGCTTACGTCGCTGTCTTAATTGATGGCGATTGTACAGACTACGTATGTTCTCAGTTCTTCGCTAAGTATTAAGTTCCTTTCCCTGCTAACACATTCCCCATCTAGTACACGAGGACTAGCATCTTTGACGGCGAGAGTGGCGGCAAGGAGATGGCTTCAAAGCTGTTGAACCTCATTCGTTCGCAACACTACCTAAAGCAGTTTGACGTTGTTGCTACAATCTACGCCAACCTTACTGATCTCTGCCGTCTCAAGCCAAAGGCTGAGTTTAGCAAGGACTACGGAACTTCTAAACTCCAGTTTCGAGAGTTTGCTCAGGGCTTTACTGGGGCAAAGGCTACATTCGACTTTGTTGATGTCGGGCCCGGTAAGGAACGGGCAGATAGCAAGATTCGAGGTGAATTGACAAGTTAGAGCTTCTTGTTGAAGATCCAAGCAGGCTAACGACAGATGCAGAGATGGCCCGTTGGCACCTCCGCAACCCCAACTGCAAACACGTTTACCTGGGCATCTGCCACGACTCCGGTTATGCTTCTTTCTTGGGACTCTTCAAACAGGATGACACCTGGCGCGAGCGCGTCACACTATTATCCTCAGGCTTCGTTCACAGTGCCATCGAAGCCACCGGCCTCGACCGCATTGATCTCCAGCTTCCAGACAGGCTGCCCTCCTCAGAATTGACCACCATAACCACTCTACATCGGAGTTCAAGCCACCCTTTGCTGGATTCCCTTTCCTGAAGCGAACAATGGTCTGTTATACCCCCACTTACCCCTTTAGACCCCAAGTAAAACTCCCACTAACATGTCTTAAACCCAAAGGCCGCAAGGTCCACGGGGCCTCGATCCACTATTGGAAGCTTCCTTCGCTAACACAGACCTTGAATCTGTCCGAAATGTGTGCAAGTACATGGTTCTTCGCGGCGTTTGTCATCGGGACGGCTGTCCGTTCAGACACGACGTTACCTTGTCATCTTTGGATGCTGCACAGCGCGCCGCTCTCATCTACGCGGCCCGTCTGTATCCGTGCAAGGATCGTCAGTTGTGCGAGGTGGAAAATTGTATTTTCGGGCATCATGTGAGTCATGCTTGACTGCCTGGCCTTTAAGCTGCGGTTGGCTATAAGGAAGGCAAAATGACAGTGTAGCTAATGTTTTACAACAACAGTGTCCTAGTCTTGATGCGAACGGGAGGTGCAGTAATCGGCGTTGCAAGTTCGATCGGCCAGAGGACCATCCACCGTTGGCACGATTCTCAACTCAGGATAGCGATGACGATTAATGATGGCTTTAAACTTTTGAGCTCGTGTTGAAATCTGGTTTGGAATAAACTGGATTCCTGACACTACTAGAAGAGTGATGAGCGAATACAGGGAGACATGATGTGATTTTTTGAGACATGGCACCCTTCGAAGCTGGTTGACTTGAGGGCAACTTGTCTTTGAAGTACTTAATTGCTCCCTACCAGTTCAGCTCAAGTAGGTCAAATGTCCGAGTGAGCAAGTCCGATTTTAATCCGCCATAATGGGATTTGACGGCGAGCATAACATTGCTGGTCCTTTAGCCAAAGATACAATCTCCAACACCCACAACCGTTGGGAGCGAGGAAGCCATGGTATGTTAAACTCGTTTCACTATGTATGTATGTGTTAACATTTGAGTTTTTAGTGTTGGATATATTGTCTCTTCTGTCTCTTGCTGGATGCCCTACGATTTCAGGGTTTCACTAGCTGTCACATGGACACGGCAGTCCAAGGAAAGGGATGTCCCCAACTGCCAACACAAGGGACACCAGAGACAGGATGATTGTGAGTGGCACAAATAAGTGGTTGATCCCGGAAGACGTCTAGAGCCGGATGACTGAAGAGAATGAGCCATATGGCCGAGGCATGATGAAAATTTTATAAAGGAAGCTGCCCAGTCATGATAAGACTTCCCTTGGTTCCTCCTCTCCCTGACACAAGGATACTGAGGACCAAGAAAGATGATTACACGTAGTAATTGACTTCGCTGTGCACCCCACATCATCAGTGGCCATCATCTAACCCATTTGACCTATTGTCGATCCCTGCCTGCACCAGACCAAGTCACCCGTTACACTAGCAAAACACACAACTTTTGCAAATCCAAGATATTAGCATACAAATCCAAAAATACTTATCTTTACGTAACTGCTTATTTTGCTTCCTATTCAACCAGTAGATGTGACAATTTCACAACCTTTGAAAATGGGTTCGAAGGTAGCGACCAGGTTGCAGAACCTAAAGGACTGGGGTCCTCACACAGTAGTGTATGTGATTGACAGATTACTGCTGAACGAGGAGTCCTCATCATGGCTCTGAAAATGTGCAATTCTGTATACATATTTATATTCGAGGGTTATTGACACGCCTGCCCTGCCGATTCAATTATTATCGAGCACTTCTTTAATTATCGCCAGGTGTTGAGTCTCATTATCAACGCTTCCTTGACACGGATAATCTTCAAACCTCCTGATTGGCTTGCACTCTGGCCGTAGCAGTAGAGCCGAAACTCACTCACACTTGGGAACTCGCTTATAAGACCTAGACCTAGAAGAGGGATAAACGTTTGATCCTCCCTGGCTGTCGACTAGCTTTTTTTTTGTTATGTTATGTTATAAACAGAATAAGGCATATAGAGGAAGGTCTAACTTGCAAGGTAGAAAGGCATAAATGAAACTAACCAATGAGAAAACACGGCCATGTATGCACCGTTAATAATCACCAAGCAAGGAGTGATAATCAACTACACAGGCGGTTTTCCCACATGTGAATAGTGTAGTTTGGGAAGCCCATAATCACCTCTTGCGCGCCGCCGTCGTGGGCACGACCAAGCACCCTCAAGGGTGAGACGGGTCGAACATACAGTTCAGTTCAATGCAACTACACAGACACAAGAATTACCTAGGAAACAGTGATAATCACCACAGGAGAATGATCAACATCTTGTATACAAGAATGTAGTGAGTCACTCACTCAAGAATGTTCATGAGAACTCCTCAGCCAGCAATATATACAACTGTTTACCAAAACTGATTACTACAGTATTGAACATTCTGTGTGGGAACTTCTATCTCTCAAATTATGTAGCCTGGTCACTACGTTTGATGTTCGATGTATAAGAAAATGGCGATGTGGATAGGAGTATTTGGGCGTTGCCCTGCACGACACGCGGCCCTAAGGGAATCTGTCGAGCACAATAGTTGTCGCAGAACAACAACGCTCTACCTTCTAAACTACACACGCGTGGGGGTGGATGAATGAGCATGGCTCTTAATAAGGTCAAGTGTGCACCTGACCTCAGCGGAGCCCGGGCTGACCGAGGTAGGTCAGCGGTGGCACAATATGCTTTGACTACTAAGTAAAGATAAGGCAATATCTGACTTCGAACGATACAGCTTGTAAACTTGTTTACGAGAATGAGTGCTATGTTTGCGACGATATTTTCCCTTTAGAGAATCAAAATGTCATCTACTCTTCCAAAATCTTAGAATTGAAAAGGAGTAAGACAGTTTAGAGTTAAGAAGGGATGAGCAAGGAAATAGACTAACTAACTATGCAATATCCAAATGACTGACTCCAATCTAAGATTAGTCCTAACTAACCCACTGACCTGACTCGGCTATCGAGTAACAGAGCCCCTATAACCTCGGTATAGCCACACTTTGCAGCGTAATTCAGCAGTGTTTTGCCCTCCTTGTCTTGTCGGTCTGGATCCACTCGCCCATCACATAACAGAGCTCTAACAACCTCAATACAGCCATTCTTTGCCGCCCAACTTAGTGGCGTTCAGCTACAGTTGTCTTCTCGATCTGGGTCAACGCGGTCATCACATAACAGAGCTCTAACAACATCCGCATGGCCAGACTCTGCAGCCCAACTTAGCGGCGTTCGCCCTTCCCCGTCTTGTCGATCTGGATCAACTCGTCCATCCGACAGCAGAATTTTAACAGTCTCAGTGTGACCATCCATAGCGGCGTAACTTCGCGGCGCTCGACCTTCGTTGTCTTGTCGGTCTAGATGAACTCGCGCATTACATAACAGGGTTTTAATCACCTCCATTTGGTCATCCATTGCAGCCAAACTTAGCGGCGGTCGGCCTCGCTTGTCTTGTCGTTCTGAATCAACTCGGCCATCGAATAACAGAGTTCTAACAACCTCCATATGGCCAAACCGCGCAGCAACACTCAGCGGTGTTTGGCCATAATCATTTTGTCGGTCTGGATCAACTCGAAATCACACAACATAGCCTTAACAACCTCTGTATGGCCATGCGATGCAGCCAAAAACAACGGCGTTTAGCCATGGTTATCTTGTCGTTCTGGGTCAACTCGGTCATCGGATAACAGAGCTTTGATAACATCTGTGTGGCCATATTCTGCAGCGTAACTCAGCGGCGGTCGACTTCGATGATCTCGTTGATTAGGATCAATATTCCGGGCGCTAGTGAGAAGCTCCTTGGCTAAATAATTGAGTCCGCAAAAAACAAACTATATAAAGAGCATTCTGAGACGACCTTGAATACTCCGAACTCAGGTCTCGATCATCAAGGAGCCAAGGCCACTCTTTGATGTCGGAAAATCTTGCACAAAGTTGCACCACCATACTGACCCATTCCGGATTTTTCAATAAGTCGAGCAGTTGAGGAACGCAGGCCGAACACGCAGATGTATGATATCCCCAGTAGTCAACAGCATAGGTAAAGAGGTGCTTTTCAAGTCGTTCACGCGCCTCCTCATACGTCCTGATGGGGCCACCTGAAAAGTCCTCAAACGAAAGGTATGGATTCGCTCCATTGCGTTGTCATATGCCCGGCGTAATAGAGTAAGCTTCGGCTCCTTTTTCTCCGAGTCGTTTTGAAGCCCGTTCAGTGTCTTACGGACAAGTTTTGCACTAACTTTGTCCTTCAAGGACTCGAAGAAGAGGTGAGCGAGTAGGAACCTGACTCTGAGAGTAAGCATGTGCTCAACTGAATCGATAACCCTTTGGTCATGGAATACTGATTACTTACATGCCATCTCCGACATTTGCAATACAATTAATGATCTCATGTTGGAGGTCGATCGTCATTGATTACTCCAAAGGAATTTAAGAGACCGTGACGTTGGCATCGCATACCTATTCTGTAACTTCCGGCGCGTAAACGACCAAACCGTAGAGCAGCTCACTACCAACATCGTGAAGCAACTACTCAGCAATAAGTTTCCGACGCCGCTCGCAGTCATGGATGCCTATGCTCACTCCAAGAAACATAAATCACAGCCATCGTTGATCGATCTCGAGGAGATGTTCCATGCTGTTGCCGAACTGTACAAGGATGGGGACTTCGTTATTGTTGATGCGCTGGACGAGTGCCAAATGAGCGACAATGTTCGTTCCAAGCTGATTGAATCATTACTACGTCTACAATCGAGGGAAGGTAATGTCAAGCTCCTGACCACAGCCCGCCCTGTACCTGATATTGTGGAAGCCTTTGATGGGCACTCCCGTCTTGAGATTGTAGCCCCAAAGAACGACATCGAGCAATACATACGCACTCAGATGTCCAGTTTACGCGCTGTTTCAAATTACCCGGACACAAGGATAGTCTTCCCAGCACCAGGTATGCCGGGGCAGAAAGAGTCACTGGCTTCCTTGACAGCCTGGTGGACTTATTAGCTTGAGGAAAATTGGGAAGGAGACAGGTGTAAAACAAACAAGGATTATACCATTCCTGAAACTG